AACCAGAAAACATAAATCAGGTGGTGGAGTAGCATTGTATGTACATAATTACTTTAATTAATGTTAAACGGTGTGATAAAATGACAATGGCAATCAATCATATGTTTGAATGTGTGACGATAGAAATAACTCTTGAAAACAGGAAAAATATATTAGTCTCTTGTATCTACCGTGCACCAGGTGCAGATATTGAAGGTTTTATTGAACATATTGAAAAGATATTCACTTATAGTAACCACAGAGATGTCTTTATTTGCGGAGACTTTAATATTGACTTACTGAAAGTAAAATCTCATAAACCCACTGAAAATTTGTGGACACCATGTACAGTCTGTCGCTTTACCCCTTAATCACACGCCCCACAAGGATAACTGCACACGGTGCAACATTGATTGATAATATCTTCACAAATGTTCTTGACAATATGACAAGTGGAATACTGTTAATATCATCATTAATTAATAATGATGTTAATCATTATTAATACTATCATTGAATACTATCATGTTAATGCTATCTTTAATTAATAATAGAGCACAGAGTCAGAGAGGAGCGGCCGCCAGAGCAGACAGGCCCCTGCCCTAAACCCCAACGCGACCCTGTGTCGCTCTCGTCACCTGGCATTAAACCTTGAATGCCGTGCAAGGTACTGATGAACCGCCTCATCCTTGGAAACCTTTTGGAAGGATGCCGTGAGGGGTTGAGGTGCACATGACGCGAGGGCTGCGCTCTTCCCCTTCAACATAGATGGAGACCTGCTGTAGGTTTGTTGGAGGGACACCATGAGAGCTACAGCATAGTCTATTAGAAGGAAAATGTTGATATTATACTTTTAAAACCTTATGAATACTATTCTATCAAGTAAAAGGCACAAACCGTATGAAGGACTCTCCTTGATCGGACGGATTACCCAATCGCCTTTGCGGAATCTGGGGTACCTTACAGCGAAACTGACCTCACCAGCAATGGTCCGATGTAACTTCCGACTGCTGTTGTGATTGAAGTGAAGGGCAGCCAAAAGAAGCCTAAAAAGGAGAGTAGCAGAGCAAAATGCAGTGTTATACAAATAGTATGAATAAAGCAATATTTTTTTCTTTGGGTGTTAGATTTATTCAGTAGTTATAGTAGTAGTAGAAAATGTATTCCCCTTGAGGAAATACATTCACAGTGAGTAAAAAAAATACACAAAGACAACAAACAGGTCCAAACATTGACATGCAAAGAACAGGCCTAAACTTAAACCACACCACATCAACCTCAATATTTAAATTATGTTTTGATTCTTATCTACGTTCTTAAATAGCCTTTTTAGTCAAAAGAATATTTACATTGTATTAAATATACTACTTCAACATAACTTGACCGAAAAGGTATAAAAGATATGCTTATATTTTTTAAGTCTTTCTTATTCAGATTTAGAGTTACTTCACAAACCAATCCAAATAAATGTAATCAGGTGTGGTCTGCCAGTGTTTTTGGCAGCCCTCTTCGTCTTTGTTTTTCGGAAGCTTGAATGCTTTTAGTTTTAGTCACATTTTAGTCAGATGAAAAATAGAAAAGTCGTAGTCAGTTTCATTATAAAAAAGTAACAATTTTGATACAATTTGGAAAATGGGATAAATTCTAATAAATCTACTGGCCTTGTATAGCTTTTGTCAAACAGATTACACCACAATAGGCCCTGGCAGAATTGTCATTGTGAACAGGACTTTTCCCCAAACGCCCGCTCTCCTTGTCCTCTGATCATTGCTTTGAGATTTTTTTTTAACCAACAGCACTGTGTGCACATTTGTTCATCAACATGCTTTCTGCGTGTACACGCTACAGTATTTAAAACTGTCCTAACGATAAAGTCCCTGTGACATTGCTGTCAGACATGCTCCATGCAGGACATACTGTACATGGATAGTAGAGGAGCACAAGGAGAGAGGGAGAGAAGGGAAGAGGTGCAGCTGCAGAGTGTGAGTCCACGTGAGCTGACGGGGCCGCTCTGTGTGACGTGTAGCAATGCGTTCTCATGCTCGTAAACTTTATGCATTATGTTATCGTCATAAAGGCGTGAACAAATTGATATCATTATTGTCTGTTGACAATAACAACACTGTGGTCTGCACTAAAAAAAGTATTTTGTAAAAAATACAAAACACAACATGTACCTGCTATGCATGCCAAGATAGGAGAATCCTGTGTGTTTGGGAGCAAAGTGGAGAATCAGCGAATGAAAGGCCTCCAGCGAAAATGTTTGATGTTGTGGGGATAGTTGCCGGATGTCCTTCAAAAATGTATTCCTCGTGGCCAGACTCTCCAGCTTAATTGCTGCCATGGATCCTGGAATGAAGAATTTAATTCAGCTTTACATATTCAAATGAAGAGCATCCTCCATACAATTCATTTCGTAAATGGTCCAATCTGTCGTCCTTTACTACATCGAATAATCAAAGCAAGACTATTACATTTACAATCTTTACTTTTCTTTTTTTTACTGTCAATTGTGCTTTCCTGTCCCAAGATCAGGGCACCCCCCCACCCACTGCCCAATACCTCCCAGGTGCATCTTATTGGCCTTTTCCGTAGTCTGCCTTTCAACACTCTGGCCATTCCTCTCTTTACCACCAGATGACTGCGAATAATAATATTCTTTGCTCTATTTACAATCATCAGAGCAGTCTTCTGCCACATATGTTTTTCATAACATGTTAAATAAGATTGGGGCAAGTAATCTTAATTTTTGTTATAATATTCCTTCTATGCTTTCTCACCTGGTTCCAGCCAGTTTGTTTCTGGCCTCTCCTTCCAGGTTAGGATGAGCACAGACAGGAAACCACAAGCTCTCATGGCTGTGAATGTCCTGTACATGGTTGACAAGGCTTGCCCATTTCGCTTCCATTACATCTGGATTGCCATCAGGTGTCGATGCGGCAGTCCAGTATAGATGGTTTATGATGGCAGATTTCCAAAGATTCAGTTCCTCACAATGCCGCTCCTTTGTGGCTGAATCCAAAGCCTTCTTCAGGCCTGTAGTTACACAAATACAAAACTATATCATAAAGAATTGAGAGAATACTTGATACTTTGTTTGCTTGAACTTTACACCGTCTTATTTACTGTTTTATTTTATTGCCTTAATGGTTAGTGCAGCTCTGTGAGGCAACTCCAGTTGTGATATTGGGCTATAGAAAACCATTGATTGACAGAATGTGTGAGGATAGGAATGAGTCAGTGTTGGAAATCTTGCCTTTACTAACGTGCCAAATGTCAAAAAAGTGCTTGGTCCCACGTGGACATAGCTTCTCACGCACCCATTTGGCAACCTACAAGTGACACAAAATGTACACACAATATAATTAAACATAATAAAATCTATGCTTATGCCTCATCCATTATTCATCCATACCTGACGATTTCGATCTGTTATAAGTGTAGAGACGTGCAGTTTCTGCTCCGTAAGAAAGGTGACGCTACGTCTCAGTCCCTCAAGCTCGCACCAATTGCTATTCGGAACCTCTGAGCTCTTTGACAGCATTTTAAAGAAACACACACAATTATTATCCCATACACCAACCTTTGACTAAAAATCAGGTTAATGAGCTTCCTCTCAAATAAACCTACTTGCACAAGTTGAAGATCTAACACTTTGTTCAGCCTCTCTTCAATAACAGTGTAGGTGCCATATTTGGCACAGTGTCCCGGAGAGTCAGATCTGTAAAAAAAAAAAGATCTTATGTTAAAAAATAAAAACGCTGTGCAAGTCTAACTTTTTACAGTAAAAAAAATAAAAAATATTTACACTTTTTATATGTACCTGCAGTCACCAGACAGAATAAGTCCACCATTTATCTCCTTGAGCTGCTCCAGGACACTAACTTGTTCAGACCTCCAGGCATCTACAATACAGGGGATTGTATAGAGTTGCTGGTGTCTGAAGTATGTCCTTGCGCTTATACACTGGAGCCCAAATAAATGTAACATTCTAAGTGTCTGCGTAGGCATACAGCCGGAGAAATGAATGGCCCCACTAAGCAGCAAATTGCAGGCTGGCATGTTTCTGTGCATCTTCGGTTGGTTCTGCCATTTTCGCTCAAAGCCACATAGTGAGCAACACTAAGAAAAATAAATGGTATTTTTACTAAACACATCTGAATGCAGTGACATTGTGCTCTAAAAGTTATAAGAATGAAAGTATTCTTTAGTGTAATGGAAGCTTTCATATATTATGCCTTTACAACCTACAAATATCCTCTTGCCTGCTTTATTTTTATGAACGTCCCCTCTTGCCGCTGTATTACACCTGGAGCTTCTTCAAAACAGGCTGGGCAGTTGGTGAATAGGGACATCAACTGGTCTTTGCAGACAATAAATTTGTCAGCAGACCTACCAAGAGAAAGATCATTGTCTATTAATTGTATATTAATTTTCGACTGTCTGAGCCTGAACCAAATTTTATCTTACTTGGAGTCTCTTGTTGTGCTTCTTCAGAGTCCTCCATTTCAGACATCTCACTTTCAATGTCTTCATCATCCTCTATGCACCAAGAACTATCACACTGTTGGTTGAAGTCTGACGATTGGTCATCGGTGTCATCCAAAATCCGCTTCAGCGGTGTTGATGTTAGAGGGTTGTAGTCTTCTGTTTGAGTACCCACACTTGTCATTTTTGGTTGAACCTGAACAGCTAAAATAAAGAGGCAGAGAAATTGAATAATAATATGTGTATTGCCCAAATGAATTTATTTGAGCAAGAGAAAGGCACAGAACATGACGTGTACGAGATCACATAAAAAGAGTGCCAAGTTGCTTTAGTTACCTTGAATCTATGGTCATATATAACAATTAGTCATTGGTGAGTATTACCTGATGATTGGTGTGATGGTGTAACGTTACACTGCAAGATCCGATCTACAGTGTGCGGCAGAGGATCAAAAGAAGTATGGGCCTCTTGCTCCTGGTCAGGAGCAGTGTGTGGTCCAGATGCAGCTTCACTTACTGCCGGATTATTGTCTCTCAGAATCTGAAACACAAGGAATTTTGTGAACCTAAGCAAAATTTAAATGGCTATATTTTCTTGCTGTGTGATACTTTTTACTAAATATTTGCATTATAAGATGACAGACCAGCAAGCTATAGGCTCATTGACTATACTGGATGCACATTTTGGCTGGCAACTGTGACAATGCCAAAGGCAAGGTAGACCGAGCACTTTTTTACAAACCAAAACGCCACGGAGTGCTACATAAATATTGTAGACCAAGTAACTCGCTCATTCTCCACGTAATATGACATTTTTCATCCACCAGCATATAAAACTGATTACTTTGAAATTCAATGCAGCATGTTAACTGATATAGTATTGCCTGCTCACAGAACCTGAGATAATATCGTGTGAAAGGGTAGAAGACACACAAACCAAGCAACCAATGTTGTAATAGCTTATGGGAGCTGGCCGGGCTGCGAGATGCATGTAACCATGAATGTCTAATTCAACGGTTGTGTCATAATGCCATTGCACACTGGTCAGTCGACCTCTCAAAAGTGTGCCCTTGCAAAAGTTGAGAGCAAAAAAAAAAAGGATCCAATTAAAAAAGTGATAACACAAAGATAACCGTGGCCAACACTGCTGGTCGCTCTGTAAACAGCTGGTTGTTGCGCACAAAAGGTTGTCTTGCCAAAAAATAAAGGTCGGGCATTATAAATATGACTCTTTAGAGTAGCGGGTTTTAAAAACAGACTTAATTTAAGACATAACCCCGATTCATATTCACAAGACAACCATGACTAAACAATTTGCTAATCAAAACGCACTTGCTAGCCGCTAATAGGCCTATAGCAACTACGATCAACACTATAAAAATGAAGAAAGCATAAGATATGGTGACTGTACAGATCACTTATCGAGCCAAGAGGTAAAAGCAGTACTTACTGTAGAGAGCCAACGCTTATCAGCTGCAGATGTGCTTCTTCTCTAGCAGGACTAGCAACATTAGCGCCGTTAGCAGACAGACAGGCTGCATGAAGAGAGGGAACTGCGCCACCAACCAGCTTCACTTGGCTGGAGGTTTTGAAGCCCATCTCCATTGCCATCCGATCACTGCTCACATAATCCTCCTGTTTGAAGTGTGCCCCACAAATCATTGTATTTCTGGTCACAGACGCCGAAGTAAAGTCTTTCCTCTTCGCCTGAACAAAGCGCACCCAGGCACGGAAAGTAGCGGCACTTTTTTTCTTGTGAGGAAAAAAATGCATTCATGACCAGAATTACTACTGTTAGAACAGCCCCCGCATGCACAGTAATTCACCATTTTGGGGGAAAAAGAAGCTAAATTAATTTTACAATAAAATCTTTCGATTCTTGGCGGGCAGCAACCGGCAACCGAGAGCAAAATCAGCAAAGATGTTCAGTAAGTAACGCGCCAAGTCCAATGGCCAAGTCCTACAAGGCCCACAGGTACGTCGTGCACGTGACTAACAACTGCGGAAGTCTATCCACTGAAGGTTACATTTTCGCATATTTTGCTTTACAAACACCGTTTATGGTACTTTAAAAAATATTTCACTGTTACTCGGGCAATAAGAAAATGGATTAAACACAAATTTCATATTATTTTTAATCTGACATATGCACTTTAACGATATCAGTGACCACTTACCAGTATTCACTCTATACAAAATACAACTAAAAATTCAGAAAAACAAAAGTAAACTTATGGTTAAGAATGTAAGATTAACATCTGAGTGCTCGATGAACGCTTTCAAGCAGAGTTTGTCAGATCAGGACTGGAATAACGTTCTTGGAGAACAAGATGTTAATATTGCATACTCACAATTTGTTAACACAATCAGTTATATGATCAACATTGTCCTGTGGTAACGCACAAATACACACAAAGATATGTGTCCCATGGATGACAAAGGGATTATTGAACGCATGTAAAAAGAAAAACGTCTTATATAAAACATTTATAAAAAAGAGAACATTGGAAACCGAAACGAAATATAAAAAATATAAGAATAAATTAACAAGTATAATAAAAAACTGCAAAAGAAATTACTATAGAAATATATGATAGAGGTTAACAAAAGCAATATGAAAGGACTATGGAAAGTCTTAAATCATGTAATGTCTAAAGACATGGAGAAAGCTAGTTACCCAGATTATATGATGGCAAACAATGACAAAATTACAGAAGGGGAGGGTGTAGTTAATGCGTTCAATGATTATTTTGTCAATATTGGGCCTCACTTGGCATCAAAAATAGCCAAAACATGTAGTAATGTTTCTCAACACAAAGGTAGAAACGAACACTCCCTCTTTCTCACTGCAACGGATGAAAATGAAATAATCAAAATCGTTCAGGCGTTCAAAAGTCAAAAATCTACTGATTGGAACAACTTTGACATGAACATGATCAAAAAAGTTATACAAAACATTACTTTGCCTTTAACACATATTTGTAATCTATCCTTTTCAACTGGAGAATTCCCAGACCTCATGAAGATTGCCAAGGTCGTTCCAATCTATAAGAATGAAGATAAGCATCAATTTACTAATTACAGGCCGATATCTATACTTCCACAACTATCCAAGATTTTAGAAAAACTCTTTGCTGCCCGTTTAGACAGCTTTGTGAATAAATATAACTTACTCAGTGACTGCCAGTACGAGTTCAGAAACAACAGGTCTACAGCACATGCACTAATCAATCTAAACGAAGAAGTCACCAACAACATTGACAATAAACTAAAGTTGAACAAGTCAAGGAATATACATTTCTAGGTGTGATCTTCAATCATAAGGCTAGCTGGAGACCACAAATGGATAGCATTCGAGGGAAAATGGCAAAAAATGTGGCAATTATGGGAAAATGTAGATTTTTTCTGGACCAAAAGGCTCTCTTCACCCTGTACTGTTCCTTAATCCTACCGTACATAAACTATTGCTCAGAGGTCTGGGGAAATACCTTCAATAGTCATTTAGAGGTTTTATATAGACTTCAAAAGAAGGCCATAAGAATCGTTCATAACGTCGGTTACAGGGACCACACAAATATACTGTTTTTAAAATCAAACACAATGAAATTTGATGATCTTATAAAATATAATACTCTGTTACAGGTATATAAAGCTGTAAATAACCAGCTCCCTAGCAACATACAACAAATGTTTGGTAAATGAGATGGAAGATATGACCTCAGAGGCACTCATAACCTCAAAGTTCAAAGTGTTCACTCTTCCTTAAAAAGTTGCTGTATTACCCGAAGAGGTGTACATTTGTGGGATAATCTAGAGGAACCCTTAAAAGATGTTGCTTGTTTACAGCTATTCAAAAAACGATACAAGAGAAGTGTGCTTGAGAAATATGCTAAAGACATGTAATCTGTTAAGTATTATCGTGAATCTGATTAACCACATCATTGCCGAAAGAACCAGTGTCACCAACCTCAAATTCAAAGCACTACCCGGCACAGGACATAAAACCTTACACAATACATAGTTAGGGCAGCAGGGTGTGGCTAGCTGATGGGGGGTCTCTGCCCTCAGCCAACTGGCCACGTCACGCCCTTGCTTTTTAATGCATCTCACTTAAAAAGGCAAACAACAAAAAGTAATTCTACAGTCACAACCAATATTTTATAGTGAATCGAGAATGACGGCAAGAGGACATTCTACAAAAATGTGTAGTGCAAATAAATTATGTGATTCTAAAATGGGAATGATGGTAAGGGGACTTATAATCATGATTATGTATTGTTGACAAAGAAAAATTATGACAAATGTAATGCAAATAATAATGAAATCATGATCAGTCAAAAGATTGGTGATCGGTATTCTTAGGTAATGATGGTATATGGTTATCATACGAAATGAAGAAAAAAAAAAAAAATATATATATATATATATATATATATGTGTGTGTATGTGTATGTATATATGTATATATATATATATATATATATATATATATATATATATATATATATATATATATATAATGTGTGTATGTGTATATGTATATATGAATATATAAACCCGCATAAATAATAATAATGATTATTTTACCTCGGAAGTCGTGTGAAAAACTTGTGATATATTGTATAATCATGAATGCTTTTCTAATCAATGCTGACGTGTGTTTGGTTAATGTGGACAACTGTAATCGTAGAATTGATTGTGATCATGGATGAGCACATCCACAGAGCCTTGGGTGTGCCTATGTATGGAAATGATCATTCACTAATTGCTTGTAAGTAAACAGGCCCATGCACCCTCTGATGTGCATGTGCCTGGGTAACTCAGGAACTCGTGTTTATTGTATGTAAACTGTATGATGCCTGTGTTCACGGTTATTGTCTGCAGCTTAAAGTGATCACTTGGAACAGGGGGTGGGCACTAATAAGCTTTCTTGCTTCAGCCTACCCCCTTTTGAGCCACTTTATAACAGTGTAACCTTGTAACAATGAAAAATATGTTTGTAAATGCTCAAATAAATAACAATAAATCAATCAATCAATCAAACAGTAATTATTATAGAACTGTTACTTAAGTTGTGCAGACTTCCTCCAAGAGGAAGTAAGGCCTTTTTTAAGGATTATAAAGTATGTGTTTCAGTGCATTCACCGCTGTGGCTCTTGGTGCTGGTGACAAAGGGCTTTCATTCAGAGTGCCTTAGATTGGAATGGGTCTAAAAATGTATTTTATTAAAAAGTAGATATATTGGTTCTGAATATGTAGAAACACGGGATTATTGCAATCTGAAGTAGCTACTGCATTATCATGACCTTCTAAAAATCTATATTTATGTAAAGCTTTAAAAGTATGTTGTATTTTCTTATGACTGTTCTGTGTAAATCATCACAAAATAAACCTAACTGGATAAAATATGCGATGCTCCTTACTCTATCAGGAATAGTACCAATTTTATCTTCGCATTCGTAACTCAAGGCCTTGTGTGTTTGCTCAAGAGTTATTGTATCAGTTCAGATATTGCATCATTTCAACCCTTTTTTTGTTTGTTTTTGATTAAAAAAGTGCACACAAAACAGTAAAATCACCCAAACTTGCACAGATTTCGTGTCTTTGATGTCAAGGTGACCCAAAAGATAGACTAAATTAGCAGGCATTTGTAGTTGTTATTGGTTTTATTAATAAAATAAATCAGAGGCAAGGCCACAGCGACAGTGTGACAGGTGCAGACAACACTGGGCGTGTTGTGTGACTCCACAGATGACAGAACTTTTTCCACGACACGCACAGCTCTCCACTTTCTGCAATGTCTGACGTCAAACGCATTAGCTGAGCAGAGGTGTCAACACACACAGCCGAATAGTTCTGTGTACAGTATGTGGCTTTGGGCAGAGGGTCACCTCAGAAGACTGGTGTCCAGGGTCCGGCTGCAGAGACAGATGATACAGCTCATCACCGCAGACACCGAGGCCACGGCCACCAGGATGGCCCACCAGTACACCTGCAAGAACACAACTGTCAGTCCCACCAGTAAACCTGCAAGAACACAACTGTCAGTCCCACCAGTACACCTGCAAGAACACAACTGTCAGTCCCACCAGTACACCTGCAAGAACACAACTGTCAGTCCCACCAGTAAACCTGCAAGAACACAACTGTCAGTCCCACCAGTACACCTGCAAGAACACAACTGTCAGACCAGTACACCTGCAAGAACACAACTATCAGTCCCACCAGTACACCTGCAAGAACACAACTGTCAGACCAGTACACCTGCAAGAACACAACTGTCAGACCAGTACACCTGCAAGAACACAACTGTCAGTCCCACCAGTACACTTGCAAGAACACAACTATCAGTCCCACCAGTACGCCTGCAAGAACACAACTGTCAGACCAGTACACCTGCAAGAACACAACTATCAGTCCCACCAGTACACCTGCAAGAACACAACTGTCAGACCAGTACACCTGCAAGAACACAACTGTCAGACCAGTACACCTGCAAGAACACAACTGTCAGTCCCACCAGTACACCTGCAAGAACACAACTGTCAGACCAGTACACCTGCAAGAACACAACTGTCAGTCCCACCAGTACACCTGCAAGAACACAACTGTCAGTCCCACCAGTAAACCTGCAAGAACACAACTGTCAGTCCCACCAGTACACCTGCAAGAACACAACTGTCAGTCCCACCAGTAAACCTGCAAGAACACAACTGTCAGTCCCACCAGTACACCTGCAAGAACACAACTGTCATTCCCACCAGTACACCTGCAAGAACACAACTGTCAGTCCCACCAGTACACCTGCAAGAACACAACTGTCAGTCCCACCAGTAAACCTGCAAGAACACAACTGTCAGTCCCACCAGTACACCTGCAAGAACACAACTGTCAGTTCCACCAGTACACTTGCAAGAACACAACTATCAGTCCCACCAGTACGCCTGCAAGAACACAACTGTCAGACCAGTACACCTGCAAGAACACAACTGTCAGTCCCACCAGTACACCTGCAAGAACACAACTGTCAGTCCCACCAGTACACCTGCAAGAACACAACTGTCAGTCCCACCAGTACACCTGCAAGAACACAACTGTCAGACCAGTACACCTGCAAGAACACAACTATCAGTCCCACCAGTACACCTGCAAGAACACAACTGTCAGACCAGTACACCTGCAAGAACACAACTGGCAGACCAGTACACCTGCAAGAACACAACTGTCAGTCCCACCAGTACACCTGCAAGAACACAACTGTCAGTCCCACCAGTACACTTGCAAGAACACAACTATCAGTCCCACCAGTACGCCTGCAAGAACACAACTGTCAGACCAGTACACCTGCAAGAACACAACTATCAGTCCCACCAGTACACCTGCAAGAACACAACTGTCAGACCAGTACACCTGCAAGAACACAACTATCAGTCCCACCAGTACACCTGCAAGAACACAACTGTCAGACCAGTACACCTGCAAGAACACAACTGTCAGACCAGTACACCTGCAAGAACACAACTGTCAGTCCCACCAGTACACCTGCAATAACACAACTGTCATTCCCACCAGTACACCTGCAAGAACACAACTGTCAGTCCCACCAGTAAACCTGCAAGAACACAACTGTCAGTCCCACCAGTACACCTGCAAGAACACAACTGTCAGTTCCACCAGTACACTTGCAAGAACACAACTATCAGTCCCACCAGTACGCCTGCAAGAACACAACTGTCAGACCAGTACACCTGCAAGAACACAACTGTCAGTCCCACCAGTACACCTGCAAGAACACAACTGTCAGTCCCACCAGTACACCTGCAAGAACACAACTATCAGACCAGTACACCTGCAAGAACACAACTATCAGTCCCACCAGTACACCTGCAAGAACACAACTGTCAGACCAGTACACCTGCAAGAACACAACTGTCAGACCAGTACACCTGCAAGAACACAACTGTCAGTCCCACCAGTACACCTGCAAGAACACAACTGTCAGTCCCACCAGTACACTTGCAAGAACACAACTATCAGTCCCACCAGTACGCCTGCAAGAACACAACTGTCAGACCAGTACACCTGCAAGAACACAACTATCAGTCCCACCAGTACACCTGCAAGAACACAACTGTCAGACCAGTACACCTGCAAGAACACAACTGTCAGACCAGTACACCTGCAAGAACACAACTGTCAGTCCCACCAGTACACCTGCAAGAACACAACTGTCATTCCCACCAGTACACCTGCAAGAACACAACTATCAGTCCCACCAGTACACCTGCAAGAACACAACTGTCAGTCCCACCAGTACACCTGCAAGAACACAACTATCAGTCCCACCAGTACACCTGCAAGAACACAACTGTCAGACCAGTACACCTGAAAGAACACAACTGTCAGTCCCACCAGTACACCTGCAAGAACACAACTGTCAGTCCCACCGACACAGAGTCCAACAATTCAGCTCAGTGCGGTGCCGTAGTGTCTGGACAGCTTGAGCTTTCTGGTCATGCTACAACCATAAACATGTGGTTTTATTTTGAACTTTTTATTCAAAGACCACAAAGTGATAGACAACTGTTATGCAATAGAATGATATATGATTGTTTTTATATTTTCTAGCTGAAAAGTGAGGCTCAAGTATTAATTTTCACTTGAACATGGAGTAAGTAAGTAAGTAATGTTTATTTATATAGCGCATTTTACAGACCAAGGTCACCCAAAGCGCTTTACAATGTTCAGAGTTCAGATATTGTTCCAATCATTCCACACACGGTGATGACGGAAGCGAGTCGCCGAACACTCAGCCCCCAATCAACACCATCCATTCACTCTCTCATTTACATTCATACCTATTGTGCATGTTTTTAGTGGTAGGGGAAACCGGAGCACCCGGAGGAAACCTACGCAGACACGGCGAGAACATGCAAACTCCAGGCCCTGTTCTGTCCGGGATTCGTACCCAGGACCTTCTTGCTGAGGGGTGAGAGTGCTATCCACTCAGCCACCGTGCCGTGAAGCTTAAAGTTACAGATTTTTCTTTCTTCATTTTTCTTCTCCAAATCCACTGATGTATTGAATTTTGTCCTGTTACAACCACCAACATACACATTTTTTTTTGGCCTTTCAATGACAAATCCAAACTAAACTCTTAATGTTTGTGGTTGTTCCAGCTGTATGTATGTATGTTTATTACTGACAATGGATTGTTCAAAATCAGATTAAGTTTAGAGAACATACAATCAATTTGGTTAAGTTTAGGTTCATGGGAAAGGCCCAGGCAGGTCTCCTACTCATGTACAAAATGGTGGAATGGATCAAGGAGAATAAGTCAATGTAGTTTGTGATAATACAGATATACAATAATATATATATTTTTGTATTTATTCGTTTATTTAACAGGGACAGTGCAAGTCCTTGTCAAATAATACATGTATTATTTATATTTTAATATCAGCATTTGAAGAGATATCTTAATCATTAAGGGCCAATGTGGACATGGATATATGTACGTACTGTATCAGGTCTCATTCGATTTCCTGGTTAAGAATTGTTATTGTGGCAGTTTTAGTCTTCTATTTTGCATTTTGGAAAATATGTAAACACTGCTTTTGGTGCGTCAATTGAATAAGTCAAAGTGGAATGTATATCTGTCTTTCCCTGAAGGGTATTTGTGAAAAGAGTGGATAATCCTGAAAGTGCTGTAAGCTTAAAATGCATTCCTGATTCTCCGCGCTCTCGGAGAAGGAACTCTCAAAGCTACTGCAAAGTGACCGTATGTACGACGCAACTTCAAACATTTATATGATATTTTTAAGGTTACTATAAGATCAGAAAGCTTATTCAGGTTGCCAGCTTTTATTGGTGAAATCCACTTGGTTTGGGGGCTATTAAGTAAAATGCCATGGTGTGAAACTGTCAATAGGTTAGGTAATAAGAGAAAGGTGGGCCCCAATACAACTCTGTGGAAACGAAGCAATTTTTTGAATAAATGTTGAAAAAGAAAAGGTTCAAATGTTTTCATTGATAATTGATCATTGTGATTAGATTCACAAACTTATTATTCTTATGTTTGAAAGTCCTCTCTCCTGGGCTACATCATGCACACATATTTTGAACATTGTCACCACTTCTAGAAAATAGCTGCACTTACAAAGAAGATGTGAAATTATGGGACAGTTTGTTGGATGTGGTTTGGCCTGTAGGGATTTTGACACCAGAATGTTAAATTACAGGCTCTTTAAAATATTTTGAACAACCCCAGAAGTCTGGCTGCTGTGACTGCTTCAGTGATGACCCACAACTTTCTACAGCTCCAAGTCCTCCTCAGATCCAATCAATCTCCGTCGTCCAAACCCACCTCGGCCCCCTGTCGTCAAACATCACTTCCTCCGCCCGTGACCTTGGTGTCATCTTTGATTCTCACCTTCTCACATTCCGCAAATACGTCAAACAAACCACCCAATCTGGCAAAACTCTGCACCACCTCAAAGATTAAAAATATTTTCACTCCTCCTCATCTCCATTTCGTTGTCAATGCCTTCGAAAAGTGCTATATACATGAAGTTAAATTATTATTGTTTTTTATTATTATTATCGTTATTGTTATCATTATTATCATTATTATTATTATTACAAAAACAGAAACTCTTCATGGCTTGATATTTCACCTTCATCCACTCTCCCAAGTCCTTAAATTCATCCAGGTGCAGAAAGGAGTTTTTGAGCCTGGCGATGGGGCCGTCGGCGTCCAGCAGGCGACAAACCTGAAACTTATCACAATACCCCTGATTGGCTGAGCATGGGGCGCCGCTCATGAGAGGGAGGGATTTCCTCTGGAAGTGACGGGACAGGACTGAAGAGGTGGTGCTGGCACATGTCTGCGGGTCACCTGCTCACAGAGAGAGGCCGGTAACTGTCAGACTCATGTTACTAAGAGCTCACTGCATACAGATGTGTGTGTGTGTGTGTGTGTGTGCGTGTGTGTTCGTGCGTGCGTGTGTATGTATGTATGTTTATGTGAATATGTGTCTGTTAATACGTAAGTGTGAGTATGTATATATACAATGAGAACTGCTGAGCCTGTACATGTCATTTATCTGTAGATAATTAAATACTGTAATCATGTGCAATGTGCAATCCTGCAAATTCAGAATGTCCACTGAATGTCACTTTATCTACTCATCTTGCCCTATATACAGTATATAAGTTTCCACCCTATATATAGAGATATTTCGCAAGATTGACATTGACGCATTTACAGCTAGCTGAGAAACATAGCAGCTACGCATAGCACTGTGGGACGAAATAAGGTGTGTGTGTGTGTGTGTGTGTGTGTGTGTTGTTGGTCAGACGTGGTGATGGTGCGGCATTAGATCATTGTCATAGCTTTCGGCAGCTGTGGCTAAAATTGTAATATGGAAAAAAGTGAATGAATTTTAATCATCGCATTATTATCACCATAGTTACAGACTAATAGGAATCAGAAAATGTAAGTGGTTAAATTTGGAACTACTTTAGAACCTATGTGTACGAGGAGCTACTATAGATGGAATAGTTTACCAGATTAATTAACACATTAAAAAAAAAATCTTTTGTCAGTGCTGCAAAATGACCCTTGCACAGTGAGTGGGAGCGGTGTGGGGTCAGAGAGAGTTTGTCTGAGTGCGTGTTTGCGTGTTTTGTGTTGTATAAGTGAGAGAGGTTGAAACCAAATAAGTGTATTCGTCCAACCCCATTTTTTACATGTATTGCAGTTTTTTTGTACCCTGTTTATTCTTTTGTCTATTTGTGTACATATTTGAAATAAATAATCACTACTACTACTACTGCAGAGTGACTCCAATGAGATCAAGATCATTATTAACGTGTGGCTTATTGTCCCTGGTCAGATTACAGCAGAACAGAACAAACTCTGGCCAGACAATGATTGCTCAACAGGGCTAAGTCACATGTTGTCACTGTTGTTGTGGCTCCGAAGTCAGAGTGACGTCAGCTGGATTGAGATGGTAAATTAGGTGACAACGTGTAAACACATTCTCCTGGACTCATGCGTGTGTTGTTACCGGGCTGCTGGCAGCACATGTGGCATTTGTCCTTCATGGAGTCTCCAGGACAGTCGCACTGCTCCAACTTGTAGCGGATACACACAGACTCCACACACACCTGCAGAGGAACAGCAGCATATCCCAATGAACCCCAGTAAAACATACTCATGACTCAGACTGTAAAGGGGCGGGAAATTCCCAGTAAAATGTTGTCACATCTAAACATAAATATAAACATGAGAATACATCCATGCAAAAAATGTCAACGGATATTTCAACAGATTTATTTGTAAGTACAACAGAACAAGTGTTGATTTACTTGAATAATCACTTTTTATCCTCAACAATATCCAAGCCACTTTTCAATTGTTGAAAATTGCCCATATATTACCAAACATTCCCGTTAATCCCTGTGAAGTCCCATGGAAAGTATGCATCTTTGAAAATGACCAAAGTGTTGCCACCCTACTCCTGACATATTCATTCATGTTTCATAGTTGAAAAATCAATGACAAGAATTTCATCAGATTTGTGATGAGCCTGTTGAAGCAGATGTGATTACTGAACTTACTGTGTTTGACCGACTCAAGACAAGGAAAATATCCAGAAGGTTTTCCTGTTTAGTATTTTCTAGGAAAGATAAATGTGTCCACCCCGAATCCAATGAATAGATCAATGGAAATCATTTCTGAACAGATGTTTGTGTCTCTCAGAACTTCTCATAAGTTTGTTATTAAAGATTTGCACACACTTTTCTCCTCAGGAGGCCAATTTGTTTGGTATTAACACAGCTGGAGCTTATTTCCGCAGAGGTTTCCTCAATTGTAACTTGATACTGACAAATAAGTTGAAATTGAGGATCCAGTACTGAAAATTATATAGCAGTACTTTGTTTTAATAAGATATGAATTATGATATTAGGGCGACAGTGGCTCAGTTGGTATTGGCCTTTGTTCCTGAAGGTCGTGGGTTCGAGCCCACCACAAGACCTACTTCACGACTCCCACTGATGACTGCTGTCGTTGTGTCCTTGGGCAAGACACTTAACCCCACTTTGCCTGTAGCCCCGCTGAAAAATCTCAGCTCCTGTGGACTCACCACCTGCAGGAGGATCAGTGAGGGGCTGGTGCTGAGTGTACTGGGTGCAGCTCTGACTGCCACCCCCCCAACCCAGGAATGGATTAAGGGGAAGAAAATGAACGGATGGATGAATTATAATATGTAATATATTATTGTTTTATTTTTTCAGACACTTCCATTAAAGAGTAGAAGTAACTGATGTAAGGTGCTTCTGTTGTTTTTTGCAACACTATCAACAAAGTATCTTAATAAAGCGTTTGTTAATATTTTTAGAATTAGTTTTAGAATTTAAATTGCAAGAAGGGGCCCTCACACAGTGCTCACTGTAGATGCTAGTGATGGACTTAACAAAGGTATAATGCTTGGGTTAAACTTAATCTTTGATGTGTTGTGACTTGGACATGGCCCTGCAGGCACAGGTGTGGTGGCCTCACCCCGCTCTGACACACCCGGGTGCCCTGGCTGCAGACGGTGAGGTTGTCTTTGGGGCTGGGCACAGGGCAGAGAGGGGACTGTCCCGAACACACACTCTCTTTCTGACAGTCTGTCTCTTCATCACACACCAGACCCAGGGGCTTGTATCCACAGTCTGCCCCACAGCACAAGCCTTGGCTTGGACTACGATACGAGAGAAGAGGGCAGAGGAATGATGGTTAGGCTCATTTGATGGAAGGATAAGACTGAGATGTAATTAAAAACCACATAAATAAATACTGTTGATATCAAACAATGTATCATAACAAGTCTGTGCAGTAATACGTTGACTAATAAATACCTGCAATGTTGATTAGGCTTCAGGCGACACTGGAGTCCGAGGCGCTCCTTTGCGCTGTAGCAGCACAGGTCTGTGTCGTTGTGGCCGACATCACACTCCTCACCCTCCTCCACAAGCAGGTTCCCACAGATGGGCTGATCACTGACTGACCAAAGGAGCACACATGTCATTACATCAGCTACAATTTGACCAACACAGAGGATAGAAAAGCTAACCCATAAAGCAGTCATCTTTCTTCAGATTCAGGATTTTACTGATCTTTTTGATGCTGCAGGGTGAGAACTTGTCATTGTTCTCCCGGACCTCATCTGAGGCATGGGGGAACATCAGGAACCGTCCTTTTCCTCCTGATGAACCCAGGTTTCCACAATTAGACCCCTCATCATGCTAGGGGATAAAACAGGACATGTTACTAACGCTGGGTATGACATGGATGTTTGACATGACACTGCAGACAATGACCTCTATAGTGCAATGTACTGTAATGCCCTCAGAACGCCACAGCAGGACGAAGACGGCACTTTCTCACTGTCAGACACACTCTGCTAGTGTAAAGGTGCTGGTCTATAAGTGTATGTTTGTTGCTTGTGGTCATGAGGCCAAAGGCACAATGTGCATGTCCACACTTCACCCAGAGCAGGGTGTCAGAGGAGAATGACTCATCTCATCTCAAATGCTCAACAGTCATAGTTACTACTCAGACACTGTACTGTTACCCTGATTTCAGTGCATTTTGTTTTTACTCTTACTCCCCACTTTCAATTCCAAATATCTGTACCTTCTACTTTCTACACACTACTTACTACCTACTACTAAAATGTCTAGTGGCAGAGTGGATAGCACTCTCGCCTCTCAGCAAGAAGGTCCTGGGTTCGAATCCCGGCCGGACCAGGGCCTTTCTGAGTGGAGTTTGCATGTTCTCCCCGTGTCTGCGTAGGTTTCCTCCGGGTACTCCGGTTTCCCCTACCACTAAAAATATGCCCAATAGTTCAGGCATGCGCCTCCTGTACTGGCGACCCTGCTCCCATCTCTGTGTGGAGTGAGAGACAAATGCCCAAAATTAACAATTGTTAACTGCTTTGAAACTCAGATCTGCAGTGAAAAGGCGGTATATAAATAAAGATTACTTACTTACTTACTAAAGTGTTTAGCTTACCTGATTACCGGTCATTGTTTTAAACGCGTATGTCCGAATGTAAGGCCAGGCCAGTGGCTATAGTGACTTATTAATTGTGGTTGCCATGCTTCTAAGTTAAGATGACTATTTATTACATCTACTGTATAATATAGTACATGATAATATACTATAAAATACTGCCCGTCAAATATCAAACAATAAAGGATTTTACTTTTTAGTACACACAGCCTGTACTGTACACTTTTACGTAAGTGATGGAATGATTTTAATACCATTGCATTTTATACTTTCAGTATTTATAGCATCAGTACATTAACAGTATTGGTCCTAGTACTTTTGCCTCCTCTGCCAATAGCATCCATGTGCACAGGGTTGAGTCCAGCTGTGTGGTACATGTACTGTTTGTGGTACATAAAGGACAGAATGCACTGTGCCACCAAAATAAACAGGAGGGTGACAGCTGCTGTGGGTGGGATGGAGCAGGGTCCTTGTATGAAGTGGTGCGCCTGTTAGACCCCTCTATAGTAAGTAAGTAAGCTTTATTTATATACCGCCTTTCACAGACCAGAGTCACAAAGCGGTTTACAATTGTTATTTTTTGGGCATTTGTCTCTCACTCCACACAGAGACAGGAGTGGGGTCGCCGAACAGGAGGCGCATGCCAGACCTATTGTACATATTTTTAGTGGTAGGGGAAACCGGAGTACCCGGAGGAAACCTACGCAGACACAGGGAGAACATGCAAACTCCACTCAGAAAGGCCCTGGTCCGGCCAGGATTCGAACCCAGGACCTTCTTGCTGAGAGGCGAGAGTGCTATCCACTCAGCCACCGTGTATAGGACGCGAGAAAACAAGAATAACAATGAGAGCTTTTTAATATTATGTAAAAGGTCCAGATAGGGACTTCCTTTAAACAGACCGATCAATAAAGAACAAAGTCTCCTGTGGGCACTGAAGTGAATCAGTCATTGACGCAGATAGTGTTCATGGACTCATGGCAAATGTAAACACCATAACCACACTATTCACAGAACCCTTGATTATCAGCACAAATACGGGTCAGCTCATTCACATATTATTTCAAGATGCCACTGACCGGTGCTCCCAAACTGTGCCCAAGCTCGTGTGCGAGGGTCAGCTGCACCTGTCGCAGGGGCTGGAACTGTCCGTAGTTCTGAATCGTAACCAGACCGGTGTTCAGGGTGGAGTACTTGCCATTTCTCAGCTTCATGTAGTCCGAACAGATACCTCCCCAGTTACCTGCACACACAGAACATTCAAATGACCAAACAATTGGTTTCAAAATAAAACCAATTGTTTTTTTTACTAAAATCCATGTTGTTGCATCCTTCATCTCATTGCATAACTGACCTTCAGCTACTGGAAATACCTCTGCTATGTTTGCCACTTAGACCTTATCGCCCTTGGAGGCCCAGGTTGGGGAGGTGCTGAGAGCCGGAGTCTGGCCCCAGAGGTGAGACACTGGTCTGTTTCTCCTTCGTCTGGGTTTATGTAATGAGCCAAAGGTACTGTATGTCCAAAACAGCAGTAGTTTTTTCAATCCAACCACTATCATGAACAAGCAAACATGACATGTAAATACAACGGCACGGTGGCTGAGTGGATAGCACGCTCGCCTCTCAGCAAGAAGGTCCTGGGTTCGAATCCCGGTTGGACCATGGCCTTTCTGAGTAGAGTTTGCATGTTCTCCCTGTGTCTGTGTAGGGTGCTCCAGTTTCCCCTACCACTAAAAATATGTACAATAGGTCTGGCATGTGCCTCCTGTACTGGCACCCCAACTCCCAAAAATAACAATTGTAAACTGCTTTGAGACTCTGATGTGCAGTGGAAAGGCGGTATATATAAATAAAGATTACTTACAACATGGAGTCATGATATGGATTTTTGTGTTATTTTGACATCAGTTCTCTGTGGTTTGGTTTTAGTTTGACTTCCTGTCCTGTTCTCGGTTGATTGTCTGTCCCGCCCTGATGTGTTTTACCTGTGTCTCTGTGTCTATATGTGCCCTGTGCTCCTCTCCCCTTCTCCCCAATTGTCTTTGCTCATCTTTGTCCGTCTGTTTTCATGGATCCTGAGTTTTGTGATTTAGAGTTTGTTTTTACCTTGAACTTTTGTTTCATTATCATCATTAAATCTTTATTTTCCCTGCATTCCTGCATTTTGAGTCCTCCTCCTTTCCACCTCGTGACACAAGACAATTGTGTGATTTACATTTTAGTGGCCAAAAAACATGCACCAATCGTCCTATTTAAATGTAAATAATCGTCTAATAGATTCCAAAGACTATTGCAACCAGAGTCATTGACCTATGATGCAGAATGTTGTGGTCAGGTATGCTGCAGTCTATCAACAGTCCCTTTCACTTCCAGGAGCCCATAGTCAAATCAATCAACCAGTGCATTTCCCAGCCCCATTTCACAGTTCCATTTAGAGCTTGTCTGTAGGAAGTCTCAGCACTTCCCATGGCCTCACGTGAAATTTTACATAACAGCTCTTGCACAATGTGGTCTGCTTTTTGTGCGAGGTACGTGTCTATCAAGGTATTCATGGCTTTTTCGGAGAAGTGGAGTTCACTGTGTGTCACTGTGGACTGTGGGAACCAGATGTGGGAGTAATATGGATCACACACCCCCTTGTGTCAGTGCAGTGGGCCGGTCCTGGATAAGCCTATGTGATGGGTTTTGGGAAGAGTCCAAACAAAAACAGCAAGCTCACCCTCATGCAGTGGTAGTGGAACAAATAAGTTAATTTGGAATTTGATGAATACCTCGGTTTGTAAAACAAAAAAAATCTTCTACATTATTCCACACTTCCATAGTTATTGGAAGTACATTAAATTAAATTAAATGATCTTCTATTTGCAAAACACATATATAAAAAGGCTATCACTTTACTGATTTCTATCATTTGAAAATATTTTGTAAATCAGATCTTTGCATTAGCTTCACGCCTCAAAACAGCAAATTTAACACACATTCTAAGTGACGATTACAGTAAGCCCTAAACCATTTTCAAACATTCATAGTTTCAATACATACTCTTCAGGTCATTTTCTGGTGGTTCAAACAATTACTCAGGATTTTTAAAATGTATCTGGCTTTTCAAACAACTGCTTAGTTTTGGAACTTAAAAATGCATTGAAAAGATGTAAAGTACTGCTACAATGCACTACTCAAAATGTATTATCACAATTTCAGGAACTGTTTAGAACATACATTTATATGAAGCCGATTTAAATACAGAAACAGAAGTATTTGTAATTAGTCTCAATTCCATCCATCTTGCTATGATAGAGTAACAACATGGATGCCCTCTGAGTCATTCATTAATTGGCCATTGGACATTGTAAGCTTGATTAAATTCAATAAACTGGATAAATACATGCTTTTTTACGCACTGGTGAAGAAAGACAGCAACAAGAGGCCAGGACCCCTTGAAAAAAAAGTGTTTCACTTTTTTCTTGGAAAAAGTAGCATCAACACGTGCACATTCTGTTATTAGGGACTCCCCTGCACGTTCATCAAGTATTCTGAATCAGACCCTTGCAGATTTCTTGCTTTTGACGTAAAATGGTCCCCTGATGCGCCATTCAAAGAGCTGGGTTTCCTAGAAAGAGCATTTGGAGGCTGTGCGGTGGTTTTGGCAGAGCAGTTCCTTCTCTGGACAAGACCCCATGAAAGACTTGTATTATGCACTGCTTGATAAACACGGTGGAGGAAACTACTATTTAGATTTGTGTGGCTTGCAACCGTAACAACACATTTACAGAGAGTCCAACACTTTTAAATATTTATTGGAGAAATGTTTAGTTGCATTGACCACACTGAGACATGGTTAAATTAGGGTCTGCTCCAGAAACCCTTTATAGGCACAGCAAATAGATGTACAGCTTTAGCTTCAATAGAAGGGTAATAGAGCGTAATAATAGGTTTGAGCTAGTGACACCTTTTAGAGCAAAAACCAGCTCAGCGTGTTCACTGACCGCTGGTAACACCAGACATGAAGAATTCCAGGAAATGTACAGTTTCTCCAAAGTAAGTGATACAGGATTACTGTACTCTGCAACCTACATCCTCCTTCTTTCAATGAAGTTATTTTCTTATAAGGGTGTCTTATTTTATAGCTAATAAATATGTTATTACACAGTTGCAATTATAACATATTAGAGGTATTTAAAACCACACTGAAACTAATCTGAAGCTAACCTGGACAATGGCGGGTCCTTGTCTACAAGGATACAAACTCCAAAACGTGTGGGATCCCCTGAATGGATAGTAAAACATCATGTGAATATTCTTCAAACAATTGTAGTGTATCTGGACTGGGCTCGTCGGCATATCCAGTTGTGGGACATGTCCAGTTGTGGGACATGTCCACCTGACACAAACAGCCACTTTTTGTGAGGGAAAAATGCATCTGTTAGCTTTAGTCTCAGGGAAAGCAGGAATTTCACTGGCATGAAGAAAAGAGTGGCACAACCCCCACTCCGAATGGAACAGAGCCTTGAGGAGGTCAAAGCCGGTGGATGGGGGTTGTGCGTGAACAGAAGGGTATCTCCAGCGCGGTCTGAGTTCTGAAAGTTTATGGTGCCTAAGTGAATAAGCTTCTATATGAGTCAAGACCCTCAATAAACCCCTGCAACCTCTGATTATCAAGTGTGTGCTTAGTCAAACATTATCCATGTTTAAGTCTGGACCAGCGTTCAGTGTGTGGTGTCTGCATGTTGTCACTCTGCTCACAGCTGACAGGATGTTTAATTCCCTCTATTATATTTGTAAGCATCATTAGACCTAATGACGTGTCCCTGAGGGGGTCTGCTCTCACACCCCTCAGCTTAACCACAACAACCTCATGAAGTGTCACATGAACAAGGAGATGTACTGTTTCAAACACTTCAATTACAGCTTAAGTGAACTTAACACATACTACAAACTGTATATTTACACAATGCACTGTTTTCAGATCATGAATATAACAGTGTTCTGAGCACAGAGAGACAGCGGCCGCTTGAACCAGTGAGGAATTTTAATTGAGGATTGCACTCACGTTTTGTTTTGTCTTCACTAGCCAAACAGAGCTTGTATAACACAGCTGAAGCAGAGCCTCTCCCACTACTCTTTTTATATGGATATATGAATGTGTTCATTTACCATCAAACTCATGAAGTATCTGCAGAGATAAGAGGCAATCTGATTGTGATGTTATAAAATGTTTTTTAAACACCAACGTGTTTCCACTCTGGGAGTTTGTTCCTTTGACTTTGTGCCTGAAGAAGACTTCAGAGTGTAAAGGCGTCGGGTTTCTAGAAAAATAATACTTTCTCATAATGGTGAGTCTTATATCTCTTCAGATACTTCATATCAGTCCCAGTCCGGTCCAGTGACCAAACGGTCGCTCCTGAGAGTTGAGACACGCTGATGTCAGAAATACACAGAAAATACACAACAGTTAATGTGAATTGAACAATGTATTCTATTGCCGTATTCAGTGTTTTGACTGTTGCTTTTCAGAAATTAACGTCACCATAAAGTGCAGAGGGACATGGAGCACAGATAGAAAATATGCATCATAGAACAAACATTATCTTTAGATGAATGAACTAGCATATGCACTATAAGGTCTGCTGTCATGGCAAACTCGACCACAGTACGATTGTTCTGTGCTTAGGCTGAGGCAAGACCGTTCCCAGACCATTTTAATGTACTTTAACAAATACATCATTAGGAAACTGTACACAATTCAATAAGAGTTTATCAGACCCCATACATTCTGTAACATACTGTAACATACTGTATTTGTGCAATGCTTGTCACTCACCTGTCTTGCCCTCCCAGGCCAGGCCCAGCACCCCACTGTAGTCCCGGTTGGTGAGCAGGTAGGACAGACAGTAGTTTCCCCAGTTATATTCAGAGTAAACACTGAGCAGCTTCTCTGGACCGATGTAGATCCGCTGCAGGGGGTCCTTCAGATCCTCTTCAGTCATCACCTTCAACACACACACAACTGTACAGTGCACTAGAAAAACTTATCCAACATAGTAGATGCCATTTCAGGTAATCATAGTGTCTTACTTGAAGAGACTTGACTTTGAAGTTGACCAACTTAATCCCATCAAAGTCCACCTTGTCATAAATGTCATTCACTGCTCGTATATATGATGCAATCTGAAAAGAATAACCTCACGTATTCATAAATGAATAAACATTTTCCTGTAAATTGAATGAAGATTATTTTTACAGAATAATAATGACAAATATAGCTGCAAGCGGGGATGAACAGCCTTTCATGTCTCGCCCTTTCTCTCCCCCTGCTGGTTGTGAGGTGCAAACCTGCCCCTTTGTTTTACTTTTCACATGTTAGGGAACTAAACGTTAACGTTGTAACTAACGTTACACAGACTGTGGGGCTTTAAGGATGCTCGCTTGACATCACTATTCCTTGTGCCTGCATCTATGTGGCGAGGGGCTTGCAGTTCACAGCTCCACGTGCAGGAACAGTCACGCTGCTGAGAGCCTCCGTACAACCCTGACCCACAGGAGCTTCATAACTGTCAATATTGACACCACGGACAAAGCAGGGGTAGAAATCAGGTCAGCCATGATTGACAACATCATATGTCTGTTTGCCTTGAAAGATCACATGACGGCATCACTTACACCTTATTTCCTCACACTCTGCTACAAAGACCTGGCATCGGACCAGGCATAACAAGTGTGCAGCAGAAGGTGGAAAGAATCTAAGACCGGGGCAAACAGGGGAGTGCAGGACAGACACCAGGACGTCCCCAGGAGGACACATGTGAGCTTGATCTAACTGTGTTTGTGTGTCACTAAATAAAACACACACAGGGCCAACTTCACTGACAGTTATTTTCACTGGCTTGGATGAATATTAAGATGGACATTGTCCTTAATGTAATTATACTGGAGAATCTGTAGCCAAAGTGATTTGATGAGAAGAACTCTTGACTAAACAAAGCTCCAATCAAATACACTCATCCAATCGTCTGATATGGTTGAGTTAAGCAGAAGAATGTCATGCAATAAAATACATATGCTTTTTAAGGCCCTGACACAGAAGCAGTGCTTAGTAGTGATGGGAGGACCTCTTGCGTGAACGCTGAATGAAGCATCTCAGTGACTTCCAGGTAACACAATTTAATAGACATCACAACAGGATTTCCTTGTCGTGATGTAGCGTGCTTTGTTTACTGTACTGTATCGTATCCTGGCCTTTCATTCCCTTATGTTGCAGTCAAATGGAACTCCCAGAAGACAGAAAGACTAATGCTTTATACATCTGCTAATTAGACAGTGGCTTACAAAGGTACAAGTAATACATATTGTCATGTCTGTAATCAGCTGTAATTATACTGAGGGTCAAGGGAAGATGTGAAGATGTCAAAATGCTGTAGGAATACAACCACTTTTCTCCTTTTACTTACTTAATCTAACATTTGGCTTTCACTTCACATTTGAGGACTACTTTGATATGGTCTTTCAAAGTAATTTCTTTATATGTGTGAGATAATTTTTCAAGATACTGTACCTACAACAAAACTTGCCACTATAGAAGCAGTGTTCTTGAGGAGACGGGTCTTGTCACCAAACTAAATACAATCAACGTAAGATCGTAATGAAAAAGTATAGATACATTGAATATTGAGATACATTGTTACAGCCTTCGCAATTGTTTGATAAAATTTTAGTGTGACAAAGTAGTTCATCTTTCTTTATTCTACTAAATATCCTCGTTTGGGTGACCTTGGTCTGTAAAATGTGTTATATAAATAAACATTACTTACATTCATTACTTACTTCTTTTCATTATTTAATTAATAACTGTAGAGAAAGTACATGTTTGGGCCCGTAGAACAGAAAGACGAAAACAGGGAAAGTAAATCAAGTTTTTGTGACTTTTACAATCATGATGTTATTTTCACCAAATAATTACTTTTATTGAAAATTATTATAAATGTTGTTTATAATTTCTCTATTTTTATGAAGAAAATGAGATCAGATGCTTAGATTGACACAAACTGGACCAAAGGAAATGAGGCTCAGTATTGTAGACTGGATTTGATAATGTTAATGTCTTTTTGTTTTTATTTATTGCCTTTATGGTTCTATGTTTATAGACAAGCACTTCGGCGGGGGAGCTGCAACAGTGTCTTTAGGCAGAATGATGGTGCATGAATGATTATTGGTGGTAAAAGGGGCCGATGGCACATATTGGTTGCCTCGCTTTTGTCGGCCTGCTCCAGGGCACAGTATGTACGGAGTGAATGAAAAAGGTCCTATGTGTGAACCAACGCATTATTACAAGAAAAGAGGCCTTTTTATGTATTCCTGCCCAATCCTCCTTTCTGTTTGAAAATACCACAGCTTTGAATAACAGTCTGAAATGTTTGACCGCTACCTGAGCCACTACAGCCTCCACAGACTTGAACCTCTTGAAGTACAGGTAGTCTGCGTGGAAGTGAAGCAGGCAACTGGTCTTTGAATCGTCCACTGTTCTCCTGGAGCGGCTCATCGCTGCCTCCTGTGGACAACATCAGGTTTAGTCCTGTCATGAGAATGGCAAATCATAACACAAGGTCAGTGCTTGTTAATAACACTCTAAGTGGTTTAACAATGGAAACAATATCTGCTGGAGTAGATTACAGTTGTGCTTTGTGAAGGTGGAAATGTGCCCCTTGTTACATAGTGTTATAAATGGATCCGTATCAAGGCCCCTATGTCTCATGTTGACAGTCAGTGTTGGTAGAATACTTTGAGAATGTTTTCCGTTCCAGAACACTGAATACATGACCTAACCTGTATTTTGCACAGTATTCCGTTACTTAAAAAAAGCAGTAAATAACTATAATTTCTAATTATTACTATTATATATATTATCTATATTTATTGTAAATGTATGTTTATCAATAAATGTTTGAATAAATACAACTTGTTTGGGTTTATTTTAGTAAAACAAAGTGCTTCCGTTTTCTTTTTTTAACCTTTAAGACGAAAGGTGAGAATTTATGTATTTCTGTGATTTTCAGAAAGTAACTGTTTTCTAAAAACTAGACTTCAATGTAGTAATTGTAGTGGAATACAGTTTCTCAGAAAGAGTATTCCGAATACGTAATGGCGATACATGTATTCAGTTACTCCCCAACACTGATGACAGTGGCAGTTGGGAACACTCCTCACTTGGACAAAACCAATAATTACAGAACTCCCACTGGGACATGTGTTTAATAGAGATGACGGATGCTTTGGGAAATGATCACATGAAGGTAAATAGCAACACAAACATGCACTTGTAGAACAATATCAGTTCCATGATACCTACTTCGCTTGCTGTGGGTCCAAGGTCAGATAGATTTTCTGCAGCACAAAATCCTCCATATTTGCTTCGTTTGGATGGAAGCTCTGAAAAAAGATTCTTTCATTAATCGTTCATTTCGAATCAATTTATTCTTGTATAGCCCAAAATGAGGACTTAAAGAAAACATTTAATTTGCCAACACAGATCAGAGAATCAAACAGTTCAAACACAAAGAATAGAGAACACATAGGCATTGGTCCAAATGGTTTGTTGATACATGTCCATACACATTGTTGAGTGTTGAGTGTCCTGGATCATCACCACAGTCCTTTTTGTTAGACCTTCTACCAGTCTAATCATGACATGTATATAATTAGAACGCAGAGAATTTGAATGTATTTTGAGGTATTGTGCAACTCATGTCCTTGCTGCACGTGAGTGAGAAAGGCGAAGGCCGGCCTACTTCAATTCTATAACATAGAGTTGAAGGTGGCCGGCCTTTGCCTTTTGACTTTCCTCCCTCTCCACCACAACAGTCCAATGCAGCAGCTGCATCACTGCAGAACTTCCAACACCAAGCAAACATCTGGGGAGCGGCAGGTGTCTCTGGGTTCTAGGCCATCAGCGTGGAGGTCCCCAGAGTCTAGATCAGTGCACTGTCCAGTGCCCCCCTCCTCCTGGGACTCCAGGGACTCTGCACTGCTCTTTGGCCTGTAGGCCGCAAAACAGTGAGAGAGTTGGAGCAACCCTCATTCACCGTGGAAAGAGGTTAGTAGTGCAGCAAAACAAAATAGCCTGACTGTAGGTGTTTACTGTCACATGGTTAATTAATGCTGCAAAATCTGCACTGGTGTTATTGTTGTGGACACAATGGCTTGACATTCCACCGTTACAGAAAGTCACATGATGTTATAATCTCTTTCACATGATGCTGAGGTGGAGGAGTGAGGTTTGCCAGTTAACTGACCCATATATCACCCTTGAGGGCAATGCTTTAGAGTGGCTTCCCTTCTGTAAAATACACAAACCCAGCTTTTCTATTGCTACTTATCCATCAGACGTGTGTCCTATACATGGTGAGGTGTATATAAGGGGCAAGAAACACTATACTACAGGCTGCCACGACCCACTGGGAGAATTGTTTCCAGACATTTTCTTAATTCTTCAAGTTCTGTTGCACCTAATCTGACAAGAGATATTAATGCTGCAGCCAAATCTGTAATCAAGACTCTCTCTCCAAACACAAGATTAATCTTTCTCAAAGGCCATAAAAAGCAATTTCTTTCCCCAACATTGAATTCTAAAATTCACTATGGTCCACGTTCCAGGAGCTAATCAAACTCTCTCCAAGGTTTGGCCTAAAAGGGACTTTAATTTCTTCTTTTGATGCATAAAATGTCTTCTGAAAGTAATAAGCATAATTTTCATGTGTAAACTGAATAAATAATTGCTTGTGTTTACAGAGGGTTAGTTAAGATGTTATGTATAATAATTTATTCAAAAATAGAATACAGTATTTCCATTTAGCATTAGATAAAGCAAGCTTTTCAGCAGAGGCAATTAACCCAAACTGGCAGCCTCACTTCCCTTAGTCAGCCCCAGGGTAACTGTGACTACAGCAGAAGTTGGACATCTATGTCCGCGCGGGTATTAAAACCTTTATTTAGACCCACATTGCTCTATTTGCTTCTAAAACTGGGAGCAACATGTGACACAATGGGAAGACTGTATCCTTGATCGCCCTGATATCATCCATTGTTTCTCGATTCCGCTGTTAAGTTTTTGGGAAAGAATAATGATCTTACTCCCATTGTTAAATGAGAATAAAAAGCAACAGTATTCATAAATCCTACTTAAACTCCTTTCCCGTAATCAACTGATCAGGGCAGAATACTAAATGTCTCCTGTAATCAAAGGTACAGTGTATAGTTTAGGTACTACGGTAGCTTCGATGGACAATATGTCTTTGACAGTGGTCCCCAACTCCCGGTCAAACTCCTTTAGTTTGATAAATGACCGGATGTTTCCATATGTCGTGGTCACTTGTAAACAAACGTGTCTCCGCTCGTGCATGAAAGCGAACATGTAAACAAACTCAGCGTTCTGAAGCTTCACCGGCGCGCTGCACAGAGGCTCGAATGGAGTTTTACAAACGCGGTGTGGAGAGAAGAGACGCATGGCTTAAAACCACGATGATCAGAGAAGCCAGGACATGGATACACAGCCGTGGCAGAACTGTGGCTGAAAGCTCAGTATATTATTTTCTTTCAGCGGGCGCACAGTAAGAAAACAGAACATTGAAACTCACGCTGGTAATAAACGTAATCTGGCGGTTCTTTAGTGGGGATTCTGTGTGTTTTGAATATTTGAGGCTTGTCCTATGAGATGAAACTTGTGACATAGTACTGTAGCTGGACTGTGCTCGGAGCGGGTCAGAACATCCGGAGACCCGTGTTGCAGATTCTGTTGGTGTGAAGAGAGTTACGTGTGCGTCTGTTGTGTACAAACTACACACTGTGCCTCCTGTTGGCGGGTGTGATTTTCGATACTGACAGTTTGCTGTAATGACGTCGGTTTCTACATTTTTGCATAATCCTTTTTCAAAAATATTCTTGTTCGGGTCTTTCTTTTATATAACTGTGGTCCTCCATGGTTTCTACTTCAAACTTGTGAGGGCACTGTCGAAGCAACGCTATTAGCAAAAACGCCATTCTCACATCCTTTTTGTCCCTTTTTGACATTTATAAGTCAAATTCAAAGCAAATGACAACAATCGAAAAACATGGTTGAGGTAAATATTCTTAAAAAGTTCACATTTGTTATTGGTTAACACGTTTTTTTTTTCCTTTGGAGCACCTGTAAAAACTACACAGGGTACCTTTAAGAACAAGACGTAGACATTTCGCAAGTCTGTTGTGATGTTGGAAGGCGGGAAACGTGATGAGGAATGCAGTCCCAAGCCAAACAAACAGTCTGTGATCTACAATAGTTTTCCTGTGAGTTACTTTCTAGGAAAATGTGTTTTAGAAACTGGGCCAAGAACACACAACTCTCACTATTGACAGCAAAAAATATGACCAAATATATCTCCAAAACAAACAAAGTGCCAAACTGGGAAACTAAATTAACTCTGCCACGTTTGTTATTTTGTCCTCACATCACCTCGTTCCAGTGTTTCTAATGCTGCCCCACACTGAGCACATTGCTTTTGGCAAGTGCCCCACACACCGCTTGAATTAATTGAACTTTACTGAGCTGTGTGACCTCTGTCAAAAGTGCTGGTTATAGAAAAAGTGTTAATTTAAGGCATGTACAATTCTGTCAAAAGGGCCATAAGTTATCGGGAGCGATCTACTGTAATAAAGAATTCCTTTTTGGCTTTTCTGTTCATCACCACTAAGCCAAAAAACACAACTGAGGTTATGGGATTTTTCTTCCTGATGTCAGAGAAAAAATGTACAAGCCAATTTTTATTAGTTCAAGTAAAGTATTGTCAGGGATGAAGCAGATAACAGTATACTAAAGATACTTCCCCAACTTGCAAAGAAATCGTTGTTGTACACTTAAATAGTTTCACTGATAAACACAACCTAATCAGTGAAAGCCAATATGGCTTCAGAAAAAAAATAAGTCAACCTAACTAATAATCGATCTCATGGAAGAAATCTCAGACAAAATTGACAGTAAGATGTACTCAATAGGAATATTCATTGATCTCCAGAAGGCATTTACATAAAATTGACCATAGTATACTTCTAAACCAATACATAGATATGGAATCCAGCGAAAAGCACAAACATGGGTGAAATCATAATTGAATAACAGACAACAGAATGTGCAGGTGGGAAAGCACACATCAGGAAGAAGAAATATAGTATGTGGAGTGCCCCAAGGTCCTGTTTTGGGACCAAAACTCTTTCTACTACAGATACATGATCTATGTAAGGCATCTTCAAAGGTTAAAATTATATTGTTATCAGATGACACCCCAATTCTGGCCTCTGGACAAGATCTCCCGGTCTTTGTGACCGATGAAAAAAAAAGTCACTATTGATAATCTTCAAGTCTTGAAGAGAAGGAAGTTATTACCTGAGAGGACAGTTTAAAGTGAAAGAACAGAATGTTTGTATGAACTTGAAAAGTCATACAAACTTTACTTTTGCAAGACTTTGAAAAGAACCATTGAGGCATAACAGGCTATCACTTTGTCCCTACTCACACACTCTTACCCAGATCGTCTTCATGGTACATAACAGAATGATGGTCTGTTGTGTTCTGGTATCTCTCCATCGGTTCTACATAATAAGTTCCTTTGGACGTGTGTATGGTGCCTTCAAACTGGCCCTGGATGACAGAGCCGTGGCAGGATGACCCATTTTCACCTGAAGTCAGAAGAGAATGTGTTATTGGGTTAGATCAATCAATCAATCAATCAATCAAATTTTATTTATAAAGCGCTTTTCATACATAAGATGCAACACAAAGTGCTTTACAGTTTGGTTAAAAACAATCCCGCCGACCCAAGACCCCTCCCCCAGACCACCCAACAGACCCTACCCCAAACCACAGACAAACACACACACACGCTCATGAACACTCATACACACACACACACACACACACACACCAGTAAAACAATAAAACCATGATGAGAGACTTGGCAGGGTTCAGATGCAACCAGCTGAAAAAGCGTCATCCAAGGAGCCATCTGCACCAGGAGCAGAGAGCCGCCCGTAGCCACAGGGGACGACACAGGACCCAGAGGAGACATGAAACCGAGGCCCCAGGCCCCCACCAGGCCCAAGAGTCCGACCCCCGCAGCCACACCGACCACTGCTCCCGGTGCAGAGGGCTCCTCCAGAGGAAACACTGGGTACACTAAAAACAATACAATAAGTAAAACACTAAAATGTGAGACTAAAAGGAACACACAATACATGAATAATAGCAATATAATAAATAATAAATAATAAAATATAAATAGAATGGAATAATAAAAACTAATTAAAAGCTAATCTAAAAAAGTGTGTCTTGAGCCTACTTTTAAAAATATGAACGTTCTAGAGTACATTGGTCGACCAATATGGATAGTTGTAAAGGAGGCTGATAACTGACATCTCAATGCATGGAGGTACTCTTTGGAACTGGTTAGCAGATGTTAAGCTGATAGCATCGTTTTTTAACTGTATAAATAAGAAAAAAGAAATGTATGGATGTAAGCGTGAGTAATGGGAGAGAGGTTGGGGCAAATATATTATTGTGTTGTGTTATTTTTTGACTGTGTATTGAGCGAGTGTGGAGGCATCTGCTTCACCCAACCCCTTTTCAGGACATGCATGCAAGAATGTTTAATTTTTGAACATTTGTGCATGCAACTTTGATATGATTTTATTCAAATGACACCTTCTGCAAATAAAGTTCATGGTATATGGGAGGATTGTCTTCTTCCGGATGGATCATTAAAACTATCGGTCCACCTAATTGTCAAATTTTAATAGGCGTTCTCGTCACACGTACAGTTTGTAGGACTGTGTCACAACATGAGGACCATTGTTCATTAGACTAAAAGTAAAGATATATGAAAAACAAACTCTGATACGATGTTTCAATATTGGTCTATAATGAACAATCGTGGACCCCTAAAACAGGTTAGATAAAACAGATCAACCCCATAACTCATGTTGTTTAATCCCACCTTCTATAGTCCCTGTGTATAAGTGGGAAAGATCTGCTGGAGTAGAGCCATTTCCACTGATCACGCTAAAGTTTTCAGAAAAACTGGCCACATCTCGTCTCAATCGCAGGCGAAATGGTCTGAAACAAACATAAACAGATCACAGATGCTGTAGATGTCACATGGACAACAACTGCACGGTTGTTGGCCTGTGTGGAGCCAATATAAACACAGAGCTTTTCATGTGGAATTTTAAATGTAACCTTTGGAACGCAATAAAGTCCAAATGCAGAGCTGTGTCCTGGGGATGTGTGGACCTCCTGGGTCTCAGGTGCTGCTTGTGAAGCTTTCCTCTGTTGTAGGACAAGCCTTCATAGTGTTTGATGTATGGACTGATGGTTCGCACTTCTCCTGAGAAATGAAAGAGGGATTACATGAGACAAAACACGCACATTTGGCTCTACATTTCAGAGATACTTGACACTAATTATTATTTTTGTTGTTGACATTTTCATTTTTTGAATCAATACATTTTCATCTATTTGTATGGTCTGATTGTCTGGTTCACTTTAACTGGACCAAGTCTGGTTTAATGCTTCACAGATCTGTTTGGAAAGATGTAAACTGAGTTGCGCATCAACAAAGTGAACCAACCAGACTACAAGTTAGAGGAGACTAACAATTGTTGAGTTTAAGGGTCTGTTGTCAGTATATGCTATTAACAGAAGACATTTGTGACATCATAAAACCAAAAGGTTTATTTATCACCACCCAAACCTCACTAACAGCTACACACGAAACGCTAAATAGCATTAAAAGTTGGTATTTACAAATGATGTCATGTTTTTACTCATGGAATAATTGATGAATCCTGTTTTTATTTTGTCACAGCAGTAGTGCACATTTACGTTTACGTCACATCCATATTATTCTAGGCAACTCAGCAACATCTGATCCATGCATGTTTACACAAGGCGTAGGCCAACTCTGTAATCACCTGTTATTTACAAGCAAAAGTTTCTATACTCTGAAGTCTGAAGGCAATTACTAACCCTGGCACCAACACACACTATCATTACACTCTTTTAGGCCCAATAAACTCAGGTAATATGTCAAACTCCCAGATGGTGTCTCTATTGAATTTATGATGGGTGACACTCTTGCGTGAGGGCATATCTCCATAACTGCCCTGATGGTTTTGTTTTCTTCTTGACTAATTGAACGGTTCTGGTAAAGAGCATCATGAGGTTCTTAAAGTTAAAGCCAAGAGAAGCTGCAAATGGAATGTATTTTGCAAGATGAGTGGGTGTATGACATTGCAGGTGCTTGTAAGCGTTTGAAGTAATTGTGTTGTTCAGCTGACAGTCTCGGATTATGCCTGGCACAAATCGTTGGGAATAATCCAAGATGTATCATTCTGGACCTCAGGCTACACACGCAGTACCTGCTGTCCGTAACAGACGCGCTAAGGTTGGGTTTTTTGGTTCAAATTTCCTCTCGCTAATACATGTTAAAACCAATGTATTCTTTGAGTAATTATCTGTTTATTTAGCAGTGATTTTTTCTGAAGTGAACAGTCTGTTCAGACAGAAAGTTCTGTCATTGGTAACACCTACTTCAAACATTTGCCGTTGCTGGAACCCTCTGAACCATCTTAGGCACTGTTTACATAGAACTCTTGTCAGAAATCATAACATGATTCACCCAATCATATAATGAGTTCTCTATTCAATCTGCCTATATTAATATGGTGCTCAAAAATATTACTTGAAAATATCTCTTGATTACTAATTAATGTAGACGCACTGTCCCATTTAAATAAACAAACAAGTTAATAATTTTTTTATATCAACTTTATATCAACTGAGTGGAGCTGTGCCAAAACCCAAAAGATCAAAATTCTCTATTCACTTATTTCATTGGATTAAATATTATGCACATCTAAATAAATAGTGCTGTCATACTAGATATTTCCTATTGTGATTTAGGGCTATACAAGAATAAATGTAATTGAATTGAATGATGTCTGGAGCTCATCCTTAACTCTCCTCACCGTGCCCATACAACCGCTCTTCAATTACACAGAAACTTTTGGTCCTTCCAGGTAAAATACTATTTAAGACACAGAATCTCCTCTGTGTAGGTGTTGGGTTTACTCAGAACGTGCCAAAAAGCATTCCTCTGTGGACAAGTTCAGGCATTTCACAACTCAAAGACAACTACACCATTACAATCCATACAACCCTGTGTCGACCCAGCACTGCGCACAAAACAAAACAATTCATATTCTATCTACATGATTATGAAGCAACCATAATGCAGTACCAATTGTGTGTTTGTGAAGTATGGCAGGCTGATGGACTTTTCAACAATGCCTTTCTAAACAGAGCCAAAGCATAAGGGTCTTCCTCCGTCTTTCCTGATCCCAATCTCATACATGCACAAATGCACACATGCTCTACCTGTGACACACTCATGCCAGTGCAGCAGAGACAGCAGCAGCCAATAGTGTGTAATCGCCATGGTTTCCTCCTTCTTGGTGGATCTTCAGCACTTTTACATTGTTCACGGCATATAGTCCTCTTGTTTATCCCATTGACGTGTGTCTCTTACCTGTGGTGTGAGCTGGAATGCGGAGATTTCAAGCCTGGAGATGCGGCCGACACCGTCACTGTAGAGAAAGACAGATACAGACATGTTAACAAGCATTCACAACCATGTGTGTGATTGTGTGATAATGGATTTTGTTCATTATACATTCTTAAATATTCTTTCAAAAAATTTGCACGATACATCTGCAAAGCCAAGCTGGGCTAAACCAAACTTTTTTGTATCGTAAATATTACATCCGTTCTTCGTGGTCCTCTCTTTTTCACTTTTCATCAGTGAACTACAAAACAAATTTACAAAAAGATAAGATAGACTTTACTGATCTCACACGGAAGAAATGTACGTGTTGGCCTACATAAAATCACTCCGACTGTGCAAAAGACAGAAGTGTGCAAAAATGTAAGGTTAGGGTCTGTGCAGGATATGTACAATAAAAAAACATCCATCCATCCATTTTCTTCCCCTTAATCCATTTCTAGGTCGGGGGAGTGGTAGTCAGTCTCTCACTGATCCTCCTGCAGGTGGGGAGTCCAAAGGAGCCTTGATCATTCAGCGGGGGCTTCAGGCAAAGTGGGGTTAAGGGTCTTGCCCAAGGACACAACGACAGCAGTCATCAGTGGGAGTCGTGGAGTAGGTCTCGTGGTGGGTCTAAACCAACGACCTTTAAGTTCTAAGGCCAATGCTCTACCAACTGAGCCACTGTTGCCCCAATTTATGCCTAACCCTGTTTCCAAAATCAAGTCGCATAAAAATATATTGCAATCTGTACGACATTACGTTTCAAATTCATTATCATTACACAAATAACAAGTTTTTTTTTCTTTTTCTAAAGCAGTGGTCCTTGTGCTCACTTTTCTGGATGGAAAATGAACCTGAGACGTCAGAAGGACTCTCTCTGATCCAAAGATTTGTCAGAGGCCAAAAAAATACACCACAATCAAGTAATAGAACCAACCCAAGTGTTTTGTGACACCTCTGTGCCTCAGCTTTGACCCATATTAGAGCTCAGGGGAAAACGAGTGCAAAACCAATGACCTTTCAACACTTATTCATATGTGTCACTATTCACCTACAAAATTAAGTCATTTCTTGTTGTTCATATAAAGGCAAGAACAAAAAACAAGTTGGAAAATACATCAGGGAGTTATATTGGTTCAAAACAAATATTTACGATCATGAGGAACCATGATGTCATTGTGAGTTTAAGTTTCAAAGTTCACTGAATGGTTTCTGTAAAGCTGACAGAACTCACAGAGAACAGAGAGAATATACAATTGAGGACAGCTTTGTGAGCATTATGGCTTGTTTCAAAGGCTACTACAAAACAGAAATACTACACACATCTTAGACCAATATTTCCCAGGCTTGATTTTCTTTAACCTCCCCCTCCATGTAATCATCCACTGGCGGCCTCCCCTGGAATCCTCCTTGTGCAGCTCTGATTGGTTGGGACAAAATCACCAGGACCCTGGGTTGTGACATCAATGGTTAGGCCCTCCCCCAGGAGTAGGATATGCACAACTACATTCCTATATGGCACGTATCTGCCCCTAAAGAAACCTCACACCTCGGTGGCCTGCATTTCTGTCCAACATTTTGTATGAACTCAAATATCATTGATTTAGTACACTTGAAGTATTTAGAGCAATACAATACAATACAATTCAATGTATTCTTGTATAGCCCTAAATCACAACATAAATCATCTCAGAGGACTTAACAAAACCATTGAAATCACCAACACAGATCAGAGAATCAACAGTTAAAACAAATAAAGAATATAGAACACATGTTAAAGAAAAATGTCATACATGTTGTAGAATGTTAAAGTGTCCTGGATCATCACCACAGTCCGTTTTGTTGGACTGTCCAACAGACCCTCCTGCATCAGCAAGGAAAAACTCATAAGAAAAACCCAGTGGGAAAAAGTGAGACACCTCGGGGAGACCCATAGTTTGAGAGAGGGATCCGCTCCCACGGACGGACGGGCTATAGATCCAGGACCTAAGCTACAGAACATGGACCAGTGGCCGTTGAACGTGGACAGGTCCGGTACAGGACTGAAGAAATCCCAGGTCTGGGTCCAGATCAGGGGTCTCCAACCTGAAGCTTGCCACCCACTTCAAAGTAGCTCCCCAAAGGATAAATGAATATATGTTCAAATCCAGGTCTATTTAGCGGTGCAAACAACTGAAGGATTATCTTCACTCTTTTAATCTTTCTTTTCTTGTTTTGTGAAGTCACATGTTACAACGACTATAAATGCCTAAGCTAGCTCTGTGCATAAAAGTCATAAAATTGCTATATGTGCTGTAAATAAGCTGTAAACCCTAACTTCAATCGTACTTCAGATATCAACGTTATTCTAAATAGCTTTTTCCCAGTAAGTAATAATTACTCATTGTTAGTTTATTTAAAGCTTGGCTATATCACTCAGGGTTTTCTTTGAATTGAACTGTCTCTGTTCAAGTAAGCCTCACGTTTGACATTTTGACGTGTAGAGTCTTTAATAAGGCAGGTGTATCAATGACAGAGTGGCCCGGTGGCTGAGTGGGTAGCATCATCACCTCTCGACTATAAGGTTCTGAATACGAATCCCAGTTGGAACATAAGTTAAAATGTAAACTTTATTGCAATAACTTGAGTTTACTTGGTAATATCAAGTAAAGGATATACTCGAGGAATTCAAGTGAAGCTAATATGCAATTTATTTCCAAGGTTTTTTCAAGTAAACTTTACTTGTCAGGGTTTACAGTGTTCCATGAAGATATTGTTTTACGCACTTCAAAATGTACTCATTTTATTTTATCTTTCTTTTCAACTGTCAAGAAAATAGCTTTGCGAGGGATTAGGCTCCTGAAGTCCTGAAGTAAATGCAGAGGGTATTGGCGGTCACTGACACCACACCATGGTCTGACTAAAGGCATGCTTTGTTTTATGAAATACAGCTTAATTTCAGGCTGTCATGTAAAGTTCTCACTACAGTGCATAGTTGAAGAGATTCCAGATTTTATGACTGACCCAAAACATTTCATCTTGAATTTCCTTTGAGTTTTCATTTCTCTTGGATACAGCAAAGACAATACATTTGATGCCTGTATTGTCTGGGAACTGCTCCAGGGTAGATTTGTATCCTAGATGAAGGGTTTTCAGCTGCTTATGCTTGTGTCATAAAAATGTCTGGACTCTTTAAAGCCCACATGTGTGTTGTAAGAGTGTTTGGTTATTAACTCAATTATCTATAAAACAACATCAACTGGAGTGGTCTTTCTGAAATGACCACTATGCTGACCATCAATCTGACCCCACAAATGTCTGCCACCTTGTCCCACACAAAACTTCATGAGATAATTAGTGCGTTTGGAAAAGGCCTATTCATGAGGGTTCACAGGTTATGGGAAATTATCAAATCAAATTGTTCTGCTGACACCGCCAAATGGTAGCCCTTCCTAGACTTGGCTCATTTCACAAAAAGCCCTGCTCCAAACCCTATTCTTCAGCTTCATACAATATGCAGTTTGTGCCAAGCTCCATAAAGACAGCATTGTGCTTTGGTCTGGGTCTGAAAATATATTCAGCACTATTATTTTATTGTTTTTTAATATCCTGATTATCGAATGATTTATTGGTGTTTAGAAAAACATGCTCATAATTTTAACCAAAATAGATGATTATATATTGTGGGTGATCCTCAACAATAATCAAGAATGATTCTAGAATCTTGTGATTCAAAGTACAATGCTGCCCTCTACAGAAACATGTAGTACATGTTTTTCAACATTATATTATGGAGTTTTCATGCAGTGTTTTTATTTATTTAGAGGAGGTCTTTGTTAAGTATCAAGTAATCAAAGTGATGGGCACAATGGACCATTGTTTTGTCTTTAGTGACTATGTTTATAATATAATGTTTTTAGACAATTACTTCTGCACCTGATTGTGTTGAGGTACCAGACCAAACTGAAACATGCAAAAGTTCCAAAACTGAGGATTTGGTGCGACATGTATTATTATGTATAATAATCTGACACAATATTTGGCCTGGCGTCAGTCCACTGACTGTGGCACTTTTAATACACTGTTATCTGACTGTGTCACAATGGAGTGGGAGTCACAACACGGTCCTGTATCATGCTGCACCAAGGACATTACGTGACTGTTCCCCAAAACAGCAGGTCAGGTGAGGACACACGCACACACGCGCACGCACTTCAAAGTTCAAAGTTATCTTTACGGAAATTGGTTTGGCCGCAAACAATCATCTAAAAACAAATACACACTCAACAATCTAAAATCAACCGGAGTACTCTAGTGTTTAAAGTATCTTATGAAAGTATCGACTGAAGGGGCATTTTGTCTCACAATCCCCAAAAAGACCCGTGTGGTAATTTTACAAATGAACTCATTTATTAATCCTCCGAAGGCAAAATGCATTCACTCTGCGCTAAAACGCCACCTGTAAAGCCGCATCCCGTCAGACCTCCGCAGCTGCAGGGCAGGACCATATTATGATAAGATCCATGGGCAGGACCTGGTTAGTACCAGGAAGATAACCCGGAACACCAGGTGCCCCAGTGGGGTGGCTGCGACTAAAATTGGCAAACTGGTGTTGTGTCCTTGGGCCAGACACTACACCCACGTTGACCAGTACGGGGCAGCTGTGTGGTGGTCGGAGAGCCAATGGAACAAACAGGCTAGTGGCCTATGTGGAGTGAACGAGTAGTGCATGTGAAGCATCTTTGAGTGTTTATTATTATATTATTATATTATTATTGCTGTAGCCACTGCTGCCTTGGGGCTGACTGACAGTTACGATGCCAAGCTGAGCGTTCGACCCTGACGCAGACCTGACTCACCAACACAATAACAGTTCAGCACTGTCGCAGTACAGTAGTGTTCCCAGAGGTCTCCCATCACAGTACGAACCAGGCCCTGACCTGCCTCGACTCCCGGATCCGTCTTGTTCTTTGGGTCATTCCACAAAGCTCAGCACCTTGGGTCAGACGTGATTTCCTGAATGTTGATTCATTTATCAGTGATCTGAGAATTTCCCAGGTGTGTCACTGTATCTCCAGACATCACATTTTAATTGTTGTCGTACATGCAACAGCGGCAAACAGTCGATAGAGAGCGCAACTTATTCATTACAGCAGTGTCTCACTACAGTCTACTATGGTCTTCTCAACAATTAAAACAGTATTGGATAACGCAACAGTCCAACTGAGTCTAACAACAGCAAAAACATGTCTTACTCTGCAAGCATCGAAATGAACCATCTACGCAAGACTAAATAATAGATAATTATTATAACAGGTATACGTCCAACGAAAGACAGACCCGCTGTGTTGAAATTTGTCCGTGTCGTTCTGACAAATGTGTCCGTCCATTAGTCTCTAAATGACTCCAGATGTGAGACAGTGTGGGGCCAAAGGACCCCGGCTCCGCGCCATTATAGCAGAACTTTATGATGACAAGACAAGGCCGAGCACGGGGTCAGACTGGGTTTGGGGCAGCTGAACTGAACTATGTGTTGTCTACTATAAAGACAGATTCTTGAACTGAAAGAGTCCAATCCAAGAGGAAAGGATATGCAAAGGCAGCACCTTTATGACCCATCATAGAAATCACCATCAGAATTTATTGAATATGTGGTCAGAGAAACTGGAGTACCTGGAGGAAACCTACGCAGGACCTTGGCAGTTAGAGCGATAAGCGAGAGCTAAAACCAATGCTACAACATACATATACCCTGTAATAATCACACAACCTTTATCACAAAAATATAACCGACATAACTTTGTGTCTGTAATTATAAAAAGCTCATCCTTCTCCGTTGGCCTGGTCAAAGCCTTTATCATGGTCAAATGAGATGAGGAAATGAGCCTCTATAATCACTAATGCAAACATTCAGAGATCTTTGTTGTACACTGTCAGTGGACTGTAATGTGAAAGGCGAGTAGAAGCAGGGGGCCATTGAGCCTCCAGCATTATGTAATCAAAGACACAGCAGAACGCAAACAGAAATTAAGGTTAAAATGGTGACAAGATTTTCTGCAAGCCTTAACTATTGGTTGTGTGGACAGCCTTTCAGGGCCCCCTTGCAGTGCCTCTGAGAGCCCATAGGGGTCTCAAGCCCCAATTTGGGAGGCACTGTTTTTCATTCTGTTCAGGAATAAATCCTGCATCTCATTGAATTACAGAAAATACGTTTTAAATGAACCTTGTTTCAGAGGAGGTGGATATAAGCAGGTTCGTCCTCTACTCTAAAGTCGTCAAATTCACTTTTCTGTCCTTCACAGCTAGACCACGTTCTTACAGGAGCAAAACTTGAAAAGTAGGATTTATAATGATTTGCAACTCAAATTTGCAATTGTCCTCGAATACTGCAAAATTGGACACTATGGTACCTTACTGTCTATTATTATTGTGCGTCTGTGTGTGTGTTTTAATGCACCTAAAGAGACCATTAGCCACACTCAAAGAGTCTGATGCACTGATACCATAGGCAGCTACTGATGATAATCTTAATTTAGGAATGTGTCTCTAGACACAGCATTTCCCATAATGCTGCAGTTTCTGCTGACTCATGTTTGAGTCATTTTCTCATGTAGCAAACAGCAGGGGGGCATTTCCCACACCCCAGTCACATATGTCTTCCTGCCTTTGCCCTCTTTCTAACTTGCTGCTTGTATCATACATTTTCCCAATGCATAAACTTTAAACTACTTCCATCGAACCTCCTCATTGCCTGCCTCTCTTTGGACTCTAACGGAATATATCATAGCAGTATTCCCAGGACACAGGTTTGGGGAGTTTTTTACCTTAAAAGGCCATGCAGAGCTGAGAGCTGGTTTCCTGGGAGGGCTTTTCCTCTGGAAGCCTGAAGCCTGGCCCATCCTCATCCTCCACAAGCTCCCCCCGCCCACAACTAACACAGTCCAGCCTAAAGCCACATGCCCACAGCTATAACAATCCCAGTATTACAGAGCCATGGGTCACAAGGCAGACATACACACATAAGACAAATACACCAAAGAAGAAAAAAGGTAAACCTGGAGCTGGGATTTTTCATTGTACCTAAAACAGAGCAGTAGCTTGTGTTCATTCCAAAAAGAATGAATGAATTGTGATGATGAGTGCAATCAATCCTTTCTGGTAACTATGGGAACGGTCATAAGTCAGTGTCTCTGTTATTTCTGGCGCAATCCACATGAAACAAAACTTCTACACAACAACCATGATTGTCTTGTTTATATGTAGAAGTGGTGACAATATTAAAAACAGCTTGGTGTTGGTCAGTGGAATGGACTTTGTTTCTATGTGTTTCCAAAAAGAATACGTAGAGTAAATTCACTTCAAGTAGAAAAACAATTCATGGGTGTGCAGTTTCCCTACATATAAGATTGTTATTAATATTGTTAAGATTATTATTAGCATCATTATTGTTAGCGTCATTTGATTCATGTCAAACCTGTGTACATACAGTACATTCAGTAAAAATTAAGGATGTGAAAAACTATTATGATATAAAATAAACAAAAATAAATAAATGGGGTCTGGGCCTCGTTATGATTTGAAAGAAACAGCTCATCGTGTGTCGCTATGAGGTCATTAAAACACTGGTTTGGACATGGGAAACGATCATAAGGTCAAAGTAAGATTTTATAGAGTCAAATATCCAGTAGTTCAGTTCGGTATAGTAAAGGTAATTCACAGAGTCTAAATCGCATAAAGTTCACACTGTTGTAATTTAAATTGAAAAAAAAAACCATAGAAATTCTTGCCATTTGTTCAGCTTTGTAAACAGCTCAGTTGATAGAGCACTGTTCTTTGGGCCCATTTGCCGTGGGTTCAAGCCCACCACGACCCATGTCACCTGCTCCCATGATGTCTCCTAGCGTTGTGTCCCTAGGCAAGACACTTAACCCCACACTGCCCGAAGCCCCCACCGAAAGACCAAAGCCATCTTCCCGTGGATCACCTGCGGGAGGATCAGCGAGGGACTGGTGCTATGAGACTTGGGTGGCAGCTCTGATTGCCACCCCCCCCCAATCCAGAAATTGATTTATTAAGGGGTGGAAAATGATATTTAGTGGTTTTAAGAAAGAAAACTGCTTACGCCTTAAGTGTTATGTGTATTTGTTTTTTTTTATGAATGTGCTTGGTCAGGAGAATCTCCATCTGTCTCATGTGTCACTCAGCCTCAGGTGTTTTTGTGCCTTTGAGCCAGAGCAGCTCTCAAAACAGACGCTGCAATAAGGAAGGGACACGGCCATGATCAAATACATTTGTTAAACAAATCCATAATACGCCATTGTGGTCATCAAACCTATTTGATTTTAAGACCTCTTTCTGTTACTTGAAGCTTAAAATTCCTATTTTTTTTACTTCTAAGTCAAATGAGGAAAAGTTCTTGTTTTTACAGCATTTAAAGCCAAACATCTGTGAATGCTTTTAACACCTTCTTCCACATTGTAAACTGCATGGTTTACTTGATACTTACATCAAAAAGAGCAGAGGAGCAGATGCTTCGTGGAGTGATTATGGAGGAAGAGGATTACTCAAAAGGACAGCATTCCTCCGCTTATGAATGACCTTGTGTCGTGAATATTATATAACTCAAAGATTATAGATTGAATTAGTTTACCATATAGTCCGTATATATTTACATGGGGAAGATGGAGATGAAAATTGGAACCAAACATTATTATTTCCCTTCACATTGTGATGAACAGCATTTTTCAGTAAATCTTTGGTTTCACAGCCATCTCAGTAATGTCCATAATGTATTTACTCGGCTCGACTGCTGAGGAGACAATGCCAAAAATGGTATTCCAGGCAAGAGACAAATTGTGTTTTTTCAATATGGTTTAACATGTGTTATGTGTATTACTTATAGCCAGTGTTGATTATTCAACTGCACATTTCAGTATCACCTTCTCTGCAAAAGAAATATCCTAAAAGTTTATGACGGAATATTGTATGTTATGGTCATTAGCACATAATAAATGAAACATAACATATTCTCCGTGTATCCAGACCATAGACTGTAAATATTAACGGTTGTAGTCAGACTATCACCGCCGTTGAAACTAATGTGGCACCAGTTTTGCCTTCTGTGGGGCTTTTCTAAAAAGGCAGCGGGGGCAGGAAAATGTGCCAAAACGCATTTGCGCATGCGTTAGTCGGCATATGCACCATTCATTTAACGAGTGCATTCAAAGGTCCACAGCGGCTTAACTGGAATGGTCAACAAAAACTTCTTTGAGGGACAAGTTACTGGGATAAAATTGTAACATATTTGTATTACAATATAACGGTTTTTAAAAAGATAGATAGATAGATACTTCAATCCCTGTCGGAGAAATTCAGGTGTCCAGAAGCAGCAAAAATAAAATTGATCATTCTAAAAAGCTAACAATAGTGATAATCAGCAACAGCCCTCAAGTCACAGCAGCAGAGGTGGAGTAGCCTCTGGGTGGAGCAGGACGGGTCACAGCAGCAGAGATGGAGTAGCCTCTGGGTGGAGCAGGACGGGTCACAGCAGCAGAGGTGGAGTAGCCTCTGGGTGGAGCAGGACGGGTCACAGCAGCAGAGATGGAGTAGTCTGGGTGGAGCAGGACGGGTCACAGCAGCAGAGATGGAGTAGCCTCTGGGTGGAGCAGGAGGGTCACAGCAGCAGAGGTGGAGTAGCCTGGGTAGCAGACCTCAGCAGCAGGATGGAGTAGTCTGGGTGGAGCAGGACGGGTCACAGCAGCAGAGATGGAGTAGCCTCTGGGTGGAGCAGACGGGTCACAGCAGCAGAGTGGAGTAGCCTCTGGGTGGAGCAGGACGGGTCAAGCACAGGATGGAGTAGTCTGGGTGGAGCAGGACGGGTCAGCAGAGAGATGGAGTAGCCTCTGGGTGGAGCAGGACGGGTCACAGCAGCAGAGGTGGAGTAGCCTCTGGGTGGAGCAGGACGGGTCACAGCAGCAGAGATGGAGTAGTCTGGGTGGAGCAGGACGGGTCACAGCAGCAGAGATGGAGTAGCCTCTGGGTGGAGCAGGACGGGTCACAGCAGCAGAGGTGGAGTAGCCTCTGCGGCAGGACGGGTCACAGCAGCAGAGATGGAGTAGCCTCTGGGTGGAGCAGGACGGGTCACAGCAGCAGAGGTAGAGTAGCCTCTGGGTGGAGCAGGACGGGTCACAGCAGCAGAGATGGAGTAGCCTCTGGGTGGAGCAGGACGGGTCACAGCAGCAGAGATGGAGTAGCCTCTGGGTGGAGCAGGACGGGTCACAGCAGCAGAGGTGGAGTAGCCTCTGCGACAGGACGGGTCACAGCAGCAGAGATGGAGTAGCCTCTGGGTGGAGCAGGACGGGTCACAGCAGCAGAGGTGGAGTAGCCTCTGGGTGGAGCAGGACGGGTCACAGCAGCAGAGATGGAGTAGTCTGGGTGGAGCAGGACGGGTCACAGCAGCAGAGATGGAGTAGCCTCTGGGTGGAGCAGGACGGGTCACAGCAGCAGAGGTGGAGTAGCCTCTGCAGCAGGACGGGTCACAGCAGCAGAGATGGAGTAGTCTGGGTGGAGCAGGACGGGTCACAGCAGCAGAGATGGAGTAGTCTGGGTGGAGCAGGACGGGTCACAGCAGCAGAGGTGGAGTAGCCTCTGCAGCAGGACGGGTCACAGCAGCAGAGATGGAGTAGTCTGGGTGGAGCAGGACGGGTCACAGCATGTACCTGAGGGCGTGTTCACACTTCAGTCCTAAATGAACTGGACTTCACCTGAACTGGAGCAAATAACAGGATTGACCTGTGTGAATCTAGAGTGGTCACTTGTTTTGTTGTTTCAAATCTCCACAAGTTACCAGTGACAATTTCTTCTTAGTGATTCCACAATTAGAACACTTGACGCAAACTCTGGCTCACTTTGGACTGAAGTATGAATGTATGAAAGTATGTAACTACTCTGAGAACACTAATGATATGACACTGATTGTGTTTATATTACATTAATTTACGATTTTTCATAAGTACTGCTGATGTTTCAAGACACAGAAAGCACTTTTTTGGTTTTAATACCTATAATATATCCTAAAAAAATTGCAAACAGTGTGAAAACAAAGCAAATGTGCTTTTTTGTTAATTCTGTATTCAACTCCCTGTGTGCTCTCACTAAAGTCCTGTATGTGCTCTGAAACATTGAAATCTCCCCACTGTGGAACGAATAAAGGTTCTCTCATCTTATCTTAACTTGAGTTACTTTGATTGTAACTAGGAATATATTCCCCTTTGTGATGATTATGCCACTTCCAAAATGAATGCATTACTTCAATACAATACAAAAGATACTAGTTTCTCCCAACACTGGAAACAGCTAATACGGTACACGCATTAGTCTCATACACAGATAGTTTGTCTGACCCCTTGAGTGCTGATAAGATGTACCAACACAGTTATCCTCCGAGTTATATGAGGAAAGCTGCACCTCCTGCCTGGTGCCTGTCTCCTTGCAGCATCCCAAATAAGGAGAGGAGCTGCGGAGTGAGGCCTGGCTGCTCTGGTGTTTAGACAGCCTTGTGAGTGCTGCGATAGCCGCGGTGAAGTGCAGGCTGAGTGCTGAGTGGACGGAGCATAGCACAGAGAGGGAGGTGATCAGAAAGCAGATGCAGGTTTGGTGCTTCCCATATAGGGCTTCTACTCTCCATCCCTAACCACTTCTGCTTTGCTCACAGCCCTTCTTGTCTTTCCTTCTGTGCAACTCTGTGCAACGCTTCACTCCTGCTTTCAACTCTACATAAAGACATCAGACACAGTGTCAGGCTTTTTGTGAAAACTTTACCAAGATCATCTCCAAGAGGAACCGCAGCCATGGAGGCCATCAAGAAGAAGATGCAGATGCTGAAGTTGGACAAGGAGAATGCCATTGACCGGGCGGAGCAGGCGGAGACAGACAAGAAGGCTGCCGAGGATAAATGCAAACAGGTGGGATGTTCAAACAATAGTATGGTAGTAAAAGTGTAAGAAAAGGAAAATACGATACAAAGTTTTGAAAGACTAAGTGAAGTGTGGCTTATAATGTTCAAGCTGGTAATAAACGGAGGTGGTTCATATGATACCTTTAAATGATATTTATAAAAGCACTGTGAGTGGGAGTTTAAAATGATGCTGTTCCATTCATTGTATTCATTCATTCATTTGACTTATAAGAATAGACCACGGACACCACAAATCATCTCAACGCTTTAATGGGGTCTGCCATCACATATACACAACACAGATCAGCCTAATCTGTCCAGTTGTCTTTGCACAATCCTGCTCATAGACAAATAGACACACACAGGCACGAATGGATACAAAACCTTCATGTTGGCAGTTGATCAATCTGATGCCTTTGTTTTCTAATACATGCATTCTTAAGAAGGGGTTGATTATTGGCCTTGCTGATTCTAGACACAATAGGCCAATATCGATATAGTATTGCAAAGAATTAGATAATAACTTTAGTTGTATATTTCATTTGTATTGTGCTTTACATCCAACATCAGATCTCTCAATTCTTCAAATGGTTTCTTTGTTTTGTTCATTTGTGTTGGACTTTATATTTAAAAATTGTTGACGTCAAAATGTTCGCTTCCATGGTAAATTAATATGCCTCTACCAATTATCAGTATCAGCACTGAAAAAAATACATTGGTTGACCTCTGATTTTTATTGTGAGTGTCTCTATGAATATTTGTTTATATAAATAACTATTTCAGCACTAAAAACAGTCCTTCCTATAAAAGTCCACTTTTGTACTTCACAGATAAAGGCTTTTATTTCTGCAACACAAAACCCTAAATCCTCCCAAAGCCAGAAAACAACTTGTGAATGAATGTAAAGTGAATATTTTCTGTTTAATATAACAGCAACGGCCACATGAAAGATCAGCACTGGTCGGTAATTTGGCTCAGCCCTCCTACTGCGGCCCTTAAAGGTGACGTGGCATCAGTCTGGGGTAATAAAGATTAAATCCAGTGTCCATCTGGGAGTCTCATGTACAACACAACAGTTTCTATGTTTGGACCTTCACACATTAAAGCAGTTATAGTTATCACTCACTTAGTGTCTGCATGAACGACCTACAGAGATGATGACGGGGTGGAATCTATGAGGATTATGGGCAGCACTTCTCAGGGGGGATACTGATTAGGTCAAACACTTAACTCACTATGAACACACATGGGCTTCATTGGTATTTGTAAAGAAGATTACAGCCTGCATACCACCATTCATGTCACGAGCCACTAATAGGAAACCATTGACGCTTTAAGAACAAACATAAGCCCATATACCGAAACAGATTCATCCACCATGTGTCACGTTACCACAACTACACAATTGTTTGGAGGCGTTTACTGTCAACTTAATAAAAATTCATATGATAAAGGATAAAGTTGAATAAATAAACTTGAATTGGAATCCTGTTCAAAATTCCATGAAAAGCATTCTTGGTGGTTCTATTGAAAGACAAGTTAGATGTCTTATGACATGTTAACATGCTTTAGCCATGGATCTATAATAATAACGGTTTTGGCTGCAGAGCTGCGAGCCTCAGAGCTGATGTTACTTCCTGAGTAGGCGTGGCCAGGCTGATTATTATTAACCTTTTATAAGAGGAATAAACCCTTAAGTTGAATCATCTCGTGTCCAAGAGGGTCCTCAAAATCAAATGCAAAAATCACAATACAGCAGCAACAGTCAATTATATACATCGACCTGAGGGTGTCCCCTTGAGGTCTACAAACATGTTAACAAGCCAACACCACAAACTTTCAAAGGAAAACACAAAAAAACACAAGACAAAGTGAACATTTTTTTTATAAAAAATCATTTATTTTACAATGTTAATTCAACAAACAATGTGAGTCTAACATATGACAGACTGGCTACAGGCAAAGTGACATGCATTAAGCATTTAGTTGTTGTAATGTTGATAACTAGCTCACTGCGGCAAAAACCCAAAATTATGCCACTTGGCATATCTCACTTTGCATGTGATCAGTTTATATCATATATTGGTTTAATATTTTTAAGTTAAATCACAAAAGCAAATTCAATTTTGAATGATATTCTGAGTTTCACCCATATGTTCCCACTGGTTTTGTTTTTTCCTCACCAAATAAGGGGGTCACGTCCTAACTGAGGCACTTCTTTTCTGTGGCCCGCTGCTGCCATTTAGACTTCAAAATTCAAAGTGTCACTCATCCAACTTCAGCTCTGCCATTAAAAGGCAACCAGATTTAGGTTGTCTACCTCAGAACCTCCAGTTCGACATCCAGTTGTTGACTTTACTTGTAAATAGTCAACTTAATTTCTGTGAATCAATATAGACATGAGTCCAAACCCTTTTACGTCTCGTTTTGTCTGCCCCTGAGACCCTCTCCGACTAAACCATTTGGAGACTCCGGACTAAGGACAGGGGATGCTCCGGGACATTTGTTAACCCAAGAAACAAAGGATTTTATAATCTTCTTTTATATACATTGAATTGAATTGATGTGTACATGTTTTGTAGATGGAGGAGGAGCTGATGGACCTGCAGAAGAAAATGAAGCAGACGGAAGACGAGCTGGACAAGTTCTCAGAAGGGCTGAAAGATGCGCAGGAAAAACTGGAGCTGTCTGAGAAGAAAGCTGCAGATGTGAGTGAAAAGTACTGTGTTCAGAGCTCACAAGACACAAGGCAAGAAGGAATAATTCACCATCATATTTGGTTTATTACTTATAATAGTAAAATACTTCATGTACACAGCACTGCAAGAATGATGCGACTTTTACAACCTTAAGTTATTATGACAGGTTAGATTTTACTAAAACATAAATCAAAATGTAGAGATGTATTTGCTGAAAATGTGTTGGTAGTTACAGAGCCTGCTTTAAAATGCTTTATGTAACATTGTAACATTACCTGGTCCAATTAGAGTGCTTTATTCTGAATACTTAGAAACACTTATATACTCAATATAAGTTTAACATCCATTTTATTGTTAATTTAATGTAGTATTCTGTCAAAATTGCATGATAAAAAAAACAATATTGAGCCACCTGCATGTAATCTGCCAGATCCTGGTAGACCCAGAAGCTAAGCAAGACAGGGCTTGGTTAGTACTGTGATGAAGACCTCTTGGAAAACCGTGGTGCCACATCACAGTGGCTGTAAAGTGCCAAACCCGTGTCCTCAGGAAAGACACTTCACCCACATTGTCTACAATGAGTCTGGTGTGTGAATGGTTAGTGGTGATAGTGGTTGGCACAAACTGATTACTTTGCTTCAGTCAGTCTGCCCCAAGGCAGCTGTAGCTACAACTCTAGTACATTACCATACACTACTGTGAACAGAGTGAATGAGTAATGTCATGTGAAGCATCTTCTAGTGTCCATAAAAGCGCTGTATAAAACCAACGCATTGATGTTGATATTATTAACAACATTCCATTCATACATTATTTCAAAGTTACCGACTAAACTGTAGTTCTACGTATTCTGAATACTACAATAAGGAAGTATTGTATTTCAAATACAATTACACAATAAAATGGTATTCTGACTAGAATAGTAAAATCATTTATTTTTATTTTTATAGTTAATTCCTGTTAAAACTATGAGAACATTGTTTTTTTCTTGTGTGGTTGTCCTTGAATAAGTACAGACTTCCATAATAGTGATCTGAGATATTTAATGACTTATGTTGCACCAACGAAGTCTCTAAACTCTCTATCGGGGGAAAAGAACGTGCCATATACAGTACACTTCAAGTCCTCAAATCTGTGTGTATGTGTTGTGTGCCTTGTCTATTGTGTCATCTCAACTCCTGGCAACATGGACGCACAACGCCACAGTTTCCATGACAGTCTGGGAAACTGTAGTGCTCATTATGTCCCATGCAGCTGGACCGTCTGATCCAGAACCAGCTGTGAGTCCACTTTGATCCAGTGTGACGGCCATAGAGAAACCTTACATTCTTCTGCCGTCACTGAAATACAGCCAGCAATGCTCAGTGAAAATGTAAAAGTTCTGCAAAGTTATCTGAATAACCATGAACTAAGCGCATGTGTGTACTCTGAAACAGCTCTGGTAAACGTAGCGTAACATTAGCAGGAAAAGAAAACAGAGCTGCTGTGGATAATTATGTGCTATCTAGCTGAGGATCATTTTTGAGATAGTTGGCAGCAGCACAAACCTCAGAGTTGGTCAGTGGGTTTTCAGTCATGCACAGCTCTATGTGGACAAGTCAGTCATGTAACTCTTCATAAAGAATACTAATGTCAGCTCAACACATTTCAAAACACTGGGGATCAAATTAAAATGTAAATGTTGGCCTCAGCGCAATAAAAGTGTCATTTTCAATCAAGATAAATATTTTAGATTTGTGCTTTTTACAGAGATTTTTTTCAGATCAGGTTTCAGTATGTTTTAAATTCACAAACGGGAATATGATTTTAAATGTTTGACCTTATCCCCTCTTATATCAAGCAAAATCGAAGCATTTTTCAAAAGTAATATATTTGATATGGTCTCTTTTCTTGGCAGTAAGATTTGCTGGAGGGAAATAACAAGGCTTTTAATCAATGTTGTCCAACCCCAAAACTGCGGGGATGAATTACATAGAAAATGTTATTCCTCTTTCTTCATCATTTAAAAATAAACTGACTTTCATTTTAAGAGCTTGTTTACTAGTTGGTCCGGTTCACATTGACTGGACCAAGCCTGGCTCACTTCGGGAGAAAATATATAGATAGATAGCTTTATTGCAGGCTCATAGTCCAGCACAAAAATAATAGACAAGACACAACACATTAAAAAACAGACAACACAAAACAATAAAAGTCCCCAAATCTCTTCAGAGGAGGCAACTATACCAGTGTTTCCACAGTGAAGATGTAAAACGAACGTAAGCTCTGCTCGTCAACACTAAAATCGTCATATTCGCACTAGGGTTCAGACACATAAACTTGTTCGTTAGGTTCCTGAAGTTGGCCTGCAGTGTGTTCACTTAAAAGGACACAAAAAGTTCAGAAGCGCTGCTCCATCTGGGCCTTTTTAGCAACAGTCTGAGGGCATCGTTGTAGGCCACTTTTAGTCTCTGTAGGCTGGATTTTTTTATAGTTCACCCACAGATGAGCGGTGTAAAGCGGGGTGCAGTATCCCCGAAACAAAGCCACTTTTACTGCATTAGAACAGGATCCAAATTTTCGCAACAAAACATTAGCCTGGGCGTACAGCATACGGCACTGTCGATACATATGATACAAAATGATGCTCACTTGTTTTACATCTACAAATAAAATTAACCAGACCAAGTGTGAACACTCTCTCTGGTTTCTTGTAAAACGGAAATACCTATCAATCTTGAAAATCAAACTTTTTTATTTTATTTTTTATATTACTCATGGAAGACAAATTCAGCAAAAATATGGATCAAATTATAACAAGACGCTATGGGCCTCCTTTTTCAATCGTTTTCTCACATGCAAAAGTGATTAGGATACCGTAAAAACAGATTTATCTGAACTAAACCATTTGCTATATTACTTTGCACCCGCAGTTTAGCACTTGGATTATTAAATGTAGCCCTCTTGTACATATACTTTACAACTATACTTTATTTTGGCTTTTTTAATGTTCTTTCAAATACTATGCTTGGGTATACGGCCAGTTTCAACCGGAAGAGGAGCTACAGCGGAAAAATAAACATACCATTATCTGTGTCTACCTATCTTTAACTTGTGAAGGAGTATCACATGTAAATAAACAAATTGTGTGGAATGTAAAAAGCCTATCCTTTCACACACATGAACTCAGAATAGTGGGGTAAGAAAGTAAGTGGGTCAAGTGGACAGTCTGACAAAAGGACTTAGGCTGGATTCACAGTATGAAGAAACATGGCCCATATCTAACTGGAAGCACACAGTTGTCATTTATAACAATAATGTATTTCCATTCAGATCGATACTACATCCAAACTGCATAACTATACCGCCAAAACAAAACTTCCAAGCCACTGTTACTGTCAGCGGCATGCAGTTGGTCTGGACTCACATAATGAGCATGGTAATACAGTAACATACCACTGGCTGCTTTTACATAATCTTGCCCCAGTCAGTGTCCTTATGTTGCAAAAAGTGAGTTTGTGTTCGCACAGGGGTTACATACATGGGCACAGTCACAGTTATGAAGAAGGGAGACGCCTATTGTCCACAGCGTCGTTAGGCAGCAGAGTGGGGGAGTAAGGGGTAGTTCTGGTATTTAAAGAATGCAGCAAAGATAAATAGAAAACACCACAGTCCTGTTCAGTTTCTGATGAAATCACTGTCTCTGGTGCAAAGGCCTAATCATGGTTTTAATCAGAAGATGAAAATGATCCTCGAGATGGCGTTAACTGAGCTGCAGATCACTAGGGCTGGATGCCACTGGCCTAGTTGTCTATTCAGCCAACATGTTTGCTCATGGGCCAAGTGCGTGAATGGGAAACTGGAAGTGCACAGGGTATAGAAGGACATCAATCAAAGCCATGTTTGAATGAGTAACATGACAATGAGCAACAAACAGGCTCAAGAGCAAACAGGTGTTATGTCATTCTGTTGGGTTGCCTTTACTGTAGGTAAAAGTCATACTTGGAGCCATGATTTGGAATTTGACTTAAAATACCCCATGTCCATGGGCCAACAGTGGCTCAGTTGGTAGAGCATTGGCCTTAGAGCCTAAAGGCCGTGGGTTCAAGCCCACCACAAGACCTACTTCACAACTCCCACTTGGGCAAGACACTTGACCCCACTTTGCCTGAAGCCCACCGCTGGAAGATCAAGGCCCCTGACGCAGAAATTGATTAAAGGGAAGAAAATGGATGGATGGACCCCACATTCAAACTGCCCCCTCAGAAGAGTCCCATCTTTAAGAACTGTGATGTTTTAAGCACTGTGTGATTTTTAATGTATTTTGTATTTTTATAGCTACTTAGCTATCGTATTGGTTTTATTTCAATAGTGAAATTCTAGTCATTCAAACTGGTGGGTAGATATCTTCTTCTTTATCTTATATTTGATGTGATGGGATTAGAATGAAGAATGGTCTCAGTCATAAGATCAGAGTTAGAACACTGATACCGCTTTTGAGAGCCCACTGATCATCGTTCCATTATGTTACATGATTATGAAATAATGAGTTTCTCAGTTCCAAAGAGCAGCCTGTGATCACATCAGTCACTAATGTCACAGCAGTAAGTCAGTCCCGCCCCATGACGTCATGGCCTCAGCAGTCTCTCGGACTCTGGGCTGCGAGCTGCTCACATCGAGCCGCTTTAATCCTGCTCCTACCTCCAGGTGTCCGGACCAAAACTCATACATTCCTGGGACAGCGTTTAATCAAGAACATCTTTACATTCCCCACAACCAGAAGACTATTTGGACACTCCGCGCTTTCACCTTCTGGTTATGTGACTTTTGTTGGACTAGAACTAATCATTCCCATTCAGAAGACCTGATCGGATCATTTTGTAGCTCAAGTTTGACTGTTTCCTAGTTCCGAGCAGACACGCAGGACACACGTCTCGATTCGATTTGCTTTACTGTGTCAAAACCTCTTTTTCCTCGCGTAGTCTTTTCAAAAGTAGCGATGGCAGGTGTCAACTCTCTGGACTCCGTGAAGAGGAAGATCCAGAGTCTGCAGCAGCAGGCGGACGACGCAGAGGAGCGGGCGCAGAGCCTCCAGAGGGAACTGGACCGAGAGCGCGACCAGCGGGAACAAGTGAGCCAAACTAAAGTCTGTAGCCCCGCGCATAAGTGCCCTTTTTAGGAGACAGCGCCCTGGGCATGCGCTAGGGCTGTTTATGACAGTGTGCGAGGAGTTCATTCATTTGCAGCCGTGATTGTGCCACAATGCAAGGCGTTGGTCCAGAGAAAAAAGTTTGGATTCCTGCAGGTCTCTGCGCATGCCCAGTGCGTCCTGGCCACAGGCCGCGCGCACGACCATTGAAAATAACGGGACCACGTTGACAGTAATCTTTAGAAATAATCATAATATGTCATGATTTAGGCTTCCTATTTATATCTTAGGTCTGCTGGCCAACATCTGGGAAGAGAAAGACTCCATTCACCTTCACACATCTGATTACTAGTTAGTTGTTATTAGGAATTACCTTGAACTTGACACTGTCGAGTGTCATTCATTGTTGGGCAAAGAGCATTTGCTCCAGTTTACTCCCGTAGTATGTCTTACACCTGCTTCTTCACCCCCTGAGTTTTTACAGTCCCTGTAAATGCTTAGCTGTGCAGTTAAATAGCCTACCCAGCCACTTTCACATGATTCTTTATGACAGTAGTTAATGATAAAACAGATGTTGGCCGAGTGACGGAGAGTGGTAGCTCCAATGAAGAAAATGCCTTCGTTTATTTGGTTTTGGTTAATTTTCTTTAATTGATTACCAACATTTACTTGTTTGCTCAGTCAGTGTCAGCAATACCAGAGAAAATATGAATAACAATATTGAATTGCTATATATAATTTATATACAATTTTAGGTCTTTTAAATACTATGTTGATATTTTTCAATCATGTATAGATGAGGAAAAACTTAGTGTGGAAACATAGGGAAGTGGCTTAGCAGGTCAGCTGTGTGTGGTGTGCTCCCATATGTGAATAATTAGGCCGACCTGTAGAGATTCCTTGGCACAAAACGCCTTTCTTCTGCAGAGACATCAAAACATGAACCACTTGTAGCCTGTTAAAGCAATGCATCACTAATTGCACATGTGGATTCCACAACCTAGTAGCCACACCAAACAATAATACAGCCGAAATATCTAGAATTAGGTTTGTCAAAACAATACAATGCTAAAACGTCCACTTATATGTCCTGTTATGGTACCAGAGATCACTTTTGGACTGATGGATTACACCTAATTACCTGTCATTCAATATGCGGCCACAGATTGGACATAAACAAAAATATGTATGTTTATTATGATTTATTACGGACTCCCATGTAAAACCATATTCCATCCATTGGTCTATCAGTGCTGACCCTCCCCGGAAGCTTGCTGCAGACTCTGGTGCACACTTCCTGTACTGTCCCTGAGCCCCACGCCCATTATTTACAGATAAATCATTATTTTCTAAGTTCTAGAAGTATACACAAGTTTGATAAAACACTCTCAGGTTATGTACAAGTCTTGTTTGTTCATGGGAGATAAACGTGAACACTTTTGTGATGTGCCTTTTTTAGGTAATACTTGATTTCACAGTGCGTTAAAGGTTCTTTTTCTAAGACAATAGTGTAAAGAAGCAAGAACTGCTTGATTACCTGACATGTTTTAGCGATGGACTCGGTAGACTCGATGGTGTGACGTGTCTCTTATCAGCTTTTGTACCGGATGTGGTCAGTCAGACAGATCAGAAAGATTCGTCAGCCTGACCACACCCCCTGCCACGCTGTGGTCTCAAGTGTGAGCCAAGGTGAAGGCCCCCTCGTCTCTATTGATGGTCTATGCCCCGGATTTCAGTAGCCTCCCATTTCCATCTTTGATATTCCTGTTCTTCCGTTGGTACTATTTTAAACCTTATTCCAGTCCGTTATATTGCTCATTTAAGGATTCCCTGTGTTGCTTTTTTCTTAGTTGATCTGCTATATTTAGTCACGCTGCTATTTCTGAGAACTGCTTCAACATGTCCAGTTTCCGTTCCCATATTCAAGCTCTGCGCTGCTTTAATTTGCAACTGGAAACTGTGCATGCATAGTCTGTGACCCTGATCAGCTGAGCCCTACAGGACAACCAGCGCTGACACATACAACATCACCATGACCATAGGACTGCGGCCACTTGTGAATGCCTCAGTGTCAGAAATAACTGCTTATTAGCCTACTGCCCTGAATCAGCCAGTAATTAGATTTTCCTTTTCCTCTCATTTTCCTCCTAACATCCCGCACACTTACATGTTTCTTTTGTAAATCCTTGCCGAGGTGTTCTGTTTCCTTATGTCTGGATGTAGATTGACTTGACATTAAGCACTATTTGCATTATTTAGTTGACCAAATTTGACCAAATAAATAATGCAAAGATGAAAGCCTGTTAAACTTGCTCTGCTGAACCATTAAAAATACTACTTTGTTTTTTTCCCGTCCATGGTTTAAGTAGGGATAATAGGATAGATCAAAATTATTATTCAGATTATGATTTAAAATGAAATTATGATTGAACACAACAACAGTTATGATTCCCCGGCTTTAGACAAACTCCATGAATTACAGTCAATTTGGAAATAGTTATGGAATCATTTGTAATAATGTTGATTTAGGATTTTCTCCATACTTTTACCTTATAAGACACAGTTTGGGCCGAAGAATGCAAGTGTGCTAAGGAAGTAGCGTGGACAGAGACAGAGAGAACGTCTGACAGAGAAGAACAAAGAGAGGAAATGAAAGAATAAAGACTTCCTGTCAGCGCTTCAGTATTCCCCTTATCCTCATTATTGACACACTATATATTTATCAGTTTAACCAGTAAGAATGCAGAGACTGTTATGGCAAAAACCTCATTTAGAATTTGAATGGATTAGATTGAGGACTCCATAACTTGGCTTAAAAAAAAAAATTGTTGAAAATAAGAATGAATTAATTAATGATGTTATTTTCAAAACAAACCAAGACAGATTATACAGTTTTCATACTGTTGTGACCATAGACTGTATATTAGGAGTGGGCCGACCACTATGGAGCGAGAATGTGGAGTCAAATGTATGCAAATGTTGTTGGTAGCAAAGGCCGAGTTATAAAGCGCCAATCAGGAGCTGCGCTGGTCTGTCCGTATTTGCTATAAAACCAAATTCTGTGGCAGATGGCTCCTGATTGGTTAGTTTTATGGCACGTATCTAGATGTTCAAAGACAATATCACTATATTAACATCATGGAGCACTAAACCATGGATTTTTTAAGTATGACACAAACGATAACTTAACTCAAGGAGTTTTTTTTTTTTTTTTTACAAGTCAATAGGAGTACATTTTTGGAGTTTGCTTAAAAAGCTGGGGTACCTAATTTTCAAACCACAAAAAAGTCAATGTCATAAAGTAAACAATTTGGTTTTATCACCGTTTTTCAAATATTTTTTAGACAGAAAAGTGAAAAAGATCCTCACGCAGCTCTCAGCCCAACTTGTCAAACAGTGACTCACAGAGTTCTTTCTTATGCTAAAGATAATTACTTTAAAAAAAGATAAATACAGCATGGTGTGCACTGATTTGTTCAAAATCTTTTTCTTTACAAGCTTTTCTGTTTGGACAAACAAAGAGAAAAAGTGAGGCTAGTATTCCACTTTAAATAAGACTTTATATATACGTAGATGTAAGATATGATATTATATTAGGAAAGTCAACAGTTGATATAAACAGACAGATGAAAAGCACTTTGAGTTGATTTTGTCTATGATTAGCATAAATATAATTCATTTCAATATCATCTTTAGTTTTTTCATCCGTAAGTTGATAAAGGGACCTGGATAATCACAATCATCGATAGCAAAATTTTGACATCCTGAGTTGCAATCTCATCTAAAATATTTTGAGGCCAAATGCAATGTTTCTTTTTCCTTTAGTTCAATTGAAGGCATAAGGGCAGGTCTATTATGAGTGTCCTGGGTTTGTGACAAAGCTGCCTCTGTGTTGAGGGAATTCCCCTGTGGGTTATTGTGGAACGTGATTAAAGAGACTGATAGTAAATGTGGACCAACATGGAGGTCTACGGGGAAACACTTTACAAAGGCACGTCCAAACTACGGCCCTGGGGCAAAAGACTATGTCCATAAGCCTCCTTTTATAATCTATCTTTAAACAAATATATCAAACGTCTTCTGTCTTTAAGCTGGGGTATGTAACTTTCAAAAGTTAAACAAATCACACCATAACAACATGTTGTGTTCCTGCTATTATAATAAAACATGTTGCATTGCAATAAAACCCTGCGAGACACTATTTGACACTTGGCAGAGTGAGGGTGGTCTCTTTTCTGTCTGTGACAGAGGCCAAAAAATACATGTGTGTGAAAACTGGTGTTAGAACCTGTTTTGAGAGTGAGGAACTTGTTGATTGTATGAATTGTATAAAAAAAACCTCGTATTCTGCTTTGATAGGTACCACAGCGCTCTGCTCAAACCGTTATGTTCAGACTCCCAGAGCTCTTTTGTACAAGTTTTCCAACGATTAAAGATGGAAAACTGCAGGCTCTTGTTTGATTTGTTCACAAAATCTTACTGTTACTCGTCATGTCAGGATAAACAAACACAAATGTATTATCTGTGAAAGAAAAAAGTTCAGTACCCCAGCTTTATCTTAAGTCTGGTGTTTGGAAGGTGCATTAGTTGCTCTATTTTTTTGTTGGTTTCACTGTAATGTTGGTAAGTGCAGTCCTTAGTAGCTTTACAAATACAACAAATATTGAACGTGTGTGTGTGTTTGTCTGTGTGCGCGTGTGTGGGTACGTGTTTGTGTGTGTGTGTGTGTTTGTCTGTGTGCGCGTGTGTGGGTACGTGTTTGTGTGTGTGTGTGTGTGTTTGTCTGTGTGCGCGTGTGTGAGTACGTGTTTGTGTGTGTGTGTGTGTGTGTGTGTGTTTGTCTGTGTGCGCGTGTGTGAGTACGTGTTTGTGTGTGTATTGCTGTATAGTGTAATGTGGTTTTAAGCTGAACTCCAGTGGAAGAATAGCAGATTTGTTTGTGTGCAGAGTAGTTGCATTCCTCGCAGCACATTGATGCACTCGGGACGAAGGAAGTTATATTATCTGTTTCTCAAGGCCCTGGTTTGATCCAGCTCTGAACACCATCCCAGCAGAAGCAGTGTCAACACATGCAGGCTTACCAAGAACAATCGCTGATAAATATTTACACGTTCATTTCCATAATGTGTTTATTAGTGGTCACTGCTGCATCATTTTCTGACTTTTGAGACGATTCTGGTTATGTCTCTCAAACCCCGTGTAAAACAATGAGAACATTATTTTCCTACATGTGCTGTGTATTGAATGTTGTGTGTATTTTTTAAACTATTTAATTGATTGATTCTGAGATGAAAATGCTGGACCAGAAAGAGCAGCTATATATAATTATCCCCTAAGATATATGTTAAATATTCACAATTATGTTTTTGTGTTTCTTGTGTAAAGAGAAAAGGATATTGATGCAATGCTTAGAAAACAAATAACTTATTTGTGATTGTGCTGAATATACTCACAATGCTCAATACATATTATAGTAAAAACATTTTAAATGTAATGTTTGATAATAATTTTGATACCAGAAGGTTTCGAATAAGGCCGCACATCCCAATAGCCTGATCTAGCGCGCTGGATTAAAAAAAGTGCACAATATAAAAAAAGTCTGCACAGCCATGTTGCTCCCAAGTGTATTTTATTTTTTTATTCATTTTCATCAGACATAGCTTTTGATACCACAATAAAAAAACAAATATAATAAAATAAATCAAAAAACATTTATTTAATGTCATGCACCAGTCATAATATAATAGAGATAGGGTTCACTGTACTCAGTGAAGGGTACTTCATTTGTGAAGCTGTGAAATCACAAAACTAAACGGACCCTTGTTTGGTGGCTTCAGCTCTCCACAGATGATGACGGGTTTTTTGCCCTAACTGATTCACTAAAAGTTTGGTTCATTTGGAACTGAAGTGTGAACACTCTTTGAACAGTATTGAGGTCCAAAGCTGACCATGACAAGCAGAACCGTAGAACTATCATGTATGGTAATATGAGCCAAGTTGTGCATGCTAGGTCATATTGGTACAAGTATTCCAGCCCAGGTTATGGAATACTGTTTAGGAGGTACTTTGAAAATAGTTTTTCTATTTACTTGCATCCTGAAGTAAAACAGCTTGTTTAATGACCTTGATGTGCTCTCTTAGGCAGAGGGTGATGTGGCCGGTCTGAACAGAAGGATCCAGCTTGTGGAAGAGGAGCTGGACAGAGCCCAGGAGAGACTCACCACAGCTCTGCAGAAACTGGAGGAGGCGGAGAAGGCTGCGGACGAGAGTGAGAGGTCTGTACGGAAACCATCATTCAGAGCTCTGGCCTTCATAAAGTTCGGTGTAACTCGTATATTTTTTTTAGGGGTATGAAGGTTATAGAAAACAGAGCAATGAAGGACGAGGAAAAGATGGAAATCCAGGAAATGCAGCTGAAGGAGGCCAAACACATTGCGGAGGAGGCGGACCGTAAATACGAAGAGGTGAGTGGATATGGGTAAATACAGTATCTTCTGCACAGTAGCAGACTGCTCTTTCTAAAGAAGCCCCATTATGTTTTTTTGGCCATTCAAAATGTATGATTAATGATACTTTTGCCATTTCATGTTTTAGAATATGAAATATTATCTTATGTAGAAAATATATGGAAACCTGATGTTAGCCTGAATCGTCGATTTTGGGTAATATGTTATTAATGGTTTGTTGATGTATTCTTTGATTGTTCTTTTTTTTATGCATATGACAGTAATGGCATGTTTTGTGTTGTGTGCAGGTGGCTCGTAAGCTGGTGATCCTCGAGGGAGAGCTCGAGAGGGCTGAGGAAAGGGCAGAGCTGTCAGAATGGTAAGCACACAACACCACAGACATTCACACGTTAAACACTTGTATTTATCACCGTATTTGTTTCAACAGTAAAGCTAGTGACCTTGAGGAGGAGCTAAAAAATGTGACCAACAATCTCAAGTCCTTAGAAGCACAGGCTGAGAAGGTGGGTTCGAAAAAACATCTTTTTTGTGAAACCTGTACTATTTGTTATATTCTACTGTTTTATGTTGTACCATGTTGTCAAAGCTATTTTGTGAGTCTGATAATTGAAGTAAAAGTAAACTGATTTTAGTCCCTCCATGGGTGATGATGGACACAACAATAAACTAAATGGTACAGTCTCCACGGATAGGTGTGTTTTAACAGTGCTATAACATGGTGGAATACAAAGGCAGAGACTTACTCTAAGAAGTTATGTAATATACTGTATCTTAAACCTTCTTTAAAGCTTTTAAAGCTATGGGACACACAACTTGGGTACAACAGAAAAAGTCTTGTTTAAGTAACGTTTTGTGAACAAATCCGCTCACAACATGCTGGTTTTATCTTATTAGAAAGGGAGATCATCTCCTTTTCACTGAAAAAGACAGAATATATAAGTCAAAGGTTTGAAAGTGTCTATAGAGGGGGTTTGACCAATAAAAAAGGCAAAGTTAAAAGAATAAATATGTTTTTAATAAAAACAGTAAAAAATAATAATAGGGGATTTGGCCAGCGCCCACCGCACACTCGCTCCCCTCGCGGCGGTTCAGGTCGACCTGGACTCCACTGGCCTTGTGTGCTCACCTACGAGGGATCATCAGCACTGCTCTCACTACCGCCCCCGTCAGCCTCGGGGTCTCTCCTCTGTGACTCCACTCCCATTTTCTCTTCTCTCTTTCCCGTTCTCTTTCCTTGTCTCTTTCCTGGTGCGGCCAGGCCCTGGATCCAGGCCCCTTCGGACCCTGGATCCAGGCCCCTCTGGACCGCCGATCCTCTCTGGCCTCGCTTTCACGCTCTCCTCCTGCTCTGCCTTTTGAATGGATTTAATCGCGTGCAAGGCCACGCTGCCTTCAAGTCCTCACAAAACCACACAAAACAAACATGTAATAAGTAAAAGCCAGTTTAAAAGTGTTACGGCCCTGGGCCCATATTAAAACACGACTGATGCCTCTGACACATACTTGTGAAATCTAGTGATAAATCCAAACAGATTTGAGAGACGTTAACTTTATTACACTGCTTCAAGTGTAAGTGTTGGCATTGTATGATATCATTGTTCTGTATTAGTGAATGCACAGTTTATTTCTCCTTACAGTACTCAGAAAAAGAAGACAAATATGAAGAAGAAATTAAAGTTTTGACTGACAAGTTGAAGGAGGTGAGAGCAGTGTTTTCTTTGTGCCTGTTGCAAGTGGAGTTTATTTTCCCAATTTCTCTGGCTCATGTGTTTGTCTTGTTCTCAGGCGGAGACTCGTGCAGAGTTTGCAGAGAGAAGTGTGGCCAAATTAGAAAAGTCCATTGATGACCTTGAAGGTATGAAACTCTCACAAGCCAATACAGGGGTGTCCAGAAATGTTTATTATCCAAATCTGCAATTCACTGTCAGCTGTTTCTGGATGTTATTATTTTTTAATCACTAAGGACAGGTGAAACTTGGAAAATTAGAATATTAATTTAAACTTCATTTATTTCTGTAAATCAACTTAAAATGTGAAACCAATATATAATATACTGTAAATCATTACATGAGAATTGACAGAGCCAAGACTTTGTCTGTTGATGATAATGATCATCAAATTTCAAATATTCAGATTTTTTAGCTATTTCATTTGGGGTCTTCACAAACTGTGAGCCATAATTATCATTAAAGCTGCGCAAACTCACTTTGTGAAATTCTCGACTATGAGCGCTGGCCTTGCCCTTCTGCTCCCCCTCCCCGCAAAGAAGCAGCGAGAGGTTTGAAGGCGGTAAAAGCCTCACCACACACTTAATACACTTTTCTAACCACCTGATGTGTGGTCGCTGTCAAAAGCTAAGCATACACTCTAAAATAGTCCTTTGAACTAATACAGCAATGCACACAAGCCACAAGTCAGTCATCTGACTTAAAATAAAGGTGAATATCATGTTATACCTACCAGCGCTTAAATCATGTTGTTGGAGTACACACTGTATCTCACTTTGTGTGTAGTGAGTCTGACAATAAACACATGTAAATCACATAAATGTTAAATTTACTGAAGTGAATGGACTTTTTTAGAGTTTCTTCTGTATTTATTGGTAGCCTATATATTTTTGAATAATTGAATCATTTGCAAGACATCTGTTCTTAATCCAATGAATATAAATGTGTGTTTGTGATTGTTTTTTCTGTATCTTTGTCCTTTACATACAGAAGACTGATTGTGTGTATTTTACATTTCTGACTTACATTTTTTCCTTCTTCCTCTGGCCATCTTCGCCTCACCCTTTTCCTTTTTCCCGCGGCTGCCCTTGCCACCTGTTGCCCACAGATGAGCTGTATGCCCAGAAGCTCAAGTACAAGGCCATTAGTGAGGAGCTGGACCACGCCCTCAACGACATGACGTCTCTGTAGAGGGCGTGCTTTTGTCACTGTCCTCATCTCTGTCTCAAATCTACTGTCCGCTTCTTTCTTCACATTTTGGCAAAAAGATTAAAAGTATCTGCTCTTTTCACAACTTTGTGTTTACTATGTTATATTAGCCTACAATTCAGAAAGATTAGGTGCATTAGTTCTATTACGAACTCAAGGTGAGATTATCATCAATATTTGAGTGACTACTTTCCACAAATGTTTGGCCTGGTTCACCATAACACTAATACACACAAATAGTTTAAACATGTGTCTCATATGTGTTGGTAATTTAACATATTGAGCTGTGTTGTGGTTTTTTGCATGTAACTACCACAGTAAATCACCTGTTTATTAAAAATCACTTCTTTTTGACAGCGCTACAAAGGAGCTGGCATTGCAGCTGGTTTGCTGATGAATCGTCTTGTCTTTTAACATTTATAATATTCTTATTTTTTAACAGATAAACTGTCAAAAGCCAAACAGGAGAACCTGGCCATGCGCCAACTCCTGGACCAGACCGTGGATGAACTGAACAACCTCTAAACAGGTGTCGCTGAAGGTGATGAAAATGCCAAGGACCATTCCAGCAGCGCTTGACTCCATTCCACACTTTGAGCCGTAACATTTTTACCCATGTAAAAAGGGGATTAAGTTAATTCTTGTTCTTTCAAGTTTTTAAAGGCACAATTGTACTTTTATTTTTTTAATGCTGAGTTTTTATGAACCCTGTGCTTTTTGTAAGTCTGACTCTAATTGCATCTGTTCGCTCTAAGAAAAGTGGCGGTGGAGATCAATCCTTAAGTTAGCACAATGTAATGTTCCGAAAATGAAGTCATTTCAATCGTTAGTGTAGTCGTATTTATGGATGGGATGTAGCATATGAGAGCGCCACCCAGTGGTATTCTGAAGTACTCACCAGTTGTGCTTTACTCATGTCTCTTAGTAGTTCACATTGTGGTGGTGCAATTATGCTCCTTGTAAAAACAGTGCTTTCTATCATAATTACACCAACCACAATGCAGTCTTCCATGGCTCTGCCTACAATTTATTTTTATATTCTTGAGGATTTGAAGCCCCCTCATTTCTGCACATCCAAGTGTCCAAAAGGCACAAACAGTATGTAGAAAGCAATTTTATTCATGTTATAACTCTCCAGAGACCAAAGAGCACACTGTCAATCATTCTTTTTATTATTTCTCTTTTATTTTGTCCTGTTTTATCAATTCTGTGACTTAAAGTGTCTGTTGACTCTTAAATAGGGACCATTACAGAATGCACACAGCCTTTGTCAATAAATATTTTACAAATTCATGATGCTTTAATTTCTTATCTCCCACTGTAATATTGTAAAAAAATAAAAATAAAATAAAAGACAACTGTTAAAAGTGCCACATTGTTATCGTGCAGAGTCTATGCCTATTTTATTGGAATGAATTTATAGTAATGAGGCATGACAGAAATGACTTCACAAAGACCCAAATAACCATCATGGAGTGCATTATTACATTTAACAGCAATCAAAAACGAAAGGTAAAATAACTCCTCATTTACATAAGGCCAGTCCTTCACTGACGGCCCATTTTACTCAAGGGAAATATGTTATAATTTCCTTCTAAAGGCACAACCTGTGAACGACATGGACCAGACTTAGACACAAATGTAGGTCTCCAAGTGTTTATATACATCAAAATGTGACCAACCTTCAGTGAGTCTGCATTTCCCCCCAGACGGCTGACAGAGGACCGTGGAGCATCCAGGACATGGGACCACTGTCTGGGCATGGCTGAAGATGGTAGTGATACTGTAACAACCTGGGGGTATGAAATGAATGGGATAAAAAAAAAAAATAGGGCTGTGATTAATTATTATTTTTGATTAATTGATCAGCTAATGTGGGATTATTTTCATACAATTGACAAACAAAATAAAGGGCCCCTGAAGAACATCTTGTGACACATAGAGCTGTTTCATAAAAATACTTTGTAAACACATTTTCATTTAATTATCCGGTCATTCTAGAATTATCGGTCATAAAATCTCTCGTCCCCAGCATGTTTAAATATATATTCAATATTTTAATATGTTCAAAAGATGATCAAGGAAAACATTAGCTGAGCACTATTTCAATGGGCGATTAGTTGCGATTGATCAACTTGTTACACCTACTATTGCCCTACATGAAAATATCACATAATAAAGAGTCCTTTAGTTCCATGACATAATGCATGCACCACTTACCTGTACATTTAACATCCATGAAGTAAGAATTGGGACTTTGAACAAGTCTCCTCTTCTTATGTCGTCTACGCTCCTCATAGAGTAGAGGATGCATAAGATCTCTGGCCAGCTGAAATTCACATCAAAAATGTAGTTTTAGTTTATTTTTCTCCCAGACTCCTATTAATATAATTCAATTCTAAAATAGTAACTCGAATTTGAACCAATCAGAAAGGACGCCCTCTACAGTCTATTCCAAGTACCACAATAAAAACGGCAGGCATGTCCAGACAAGTCTCAATATTTACAGTCTCAACCATAGTACTTCTACTACTACAAGGGGTTAGCTATTTGTAATTATGTGTTAAACGTATTAAGATGTTTTTGTTTTAATCTGTGCATATCAGTAACCTAACATTACATATTCTATGAACAGTCCTTCTAAACTGACTTAGAGCAAAGTGTAACGTAACCTGACATAAATGGTCAATCTTCACAACAAGACGCACACAAAATGTAAGGTTTTAATTGAGATAAATAATGCATTACTTACTGACATTCCAAAGTTCCTGTTATGGTTTTTGAGAAATATTGCAGACGTAAAGCAGCCTCCTCACGCTCCGCACTGTTGTGGTGGCTGAGCACTGAGCAGTGGTGAGGGGCAGGGTGAGGGGCAGGATGAGGGGCAGGATGAGGGGCAGGATGAGAGGCAGGGGGAGGGGCAGGGGGAGGGGCAGGATGAGGGGCAGGATGAGGGGCAGGGTGAGGGGCAGGATGAGGGGCAGGATGAGGGGCAGGGTGAGGGGCAGGGTGAGGGGCAGGATGAGGGGCAGGATGAGGGGCAGGGTGAGGGGCAGGGTGAGGGGCAGGATGAGGGGCAGGATGAGGGGCAGGATGAGGGGCAGGATGAGGGGCAGGGTGAGGGGCAGGATGAGGGGCAGGATGAGAGGCAGGGGGAGGGGCAGGGGGAGGGGCAGGATGAGGGGCAGGATGAGGGGCAGGGGGAGGGGCAGGATGAGGGGCGGGGTGAGGGGCAGGATGAGGGGCAGGGGGAGGGGCAGGGTGAGGGGCAGGGTGAGGGGCAGGGTGAGGGGCAGGATGAGGGGCAGGATGAGGGGCAGGGGGAGGGGCAGGATGAGCAGCAGGGTGAGGGGCAGGATGAGGGGCAGGGTGAGGGGGAGGGGCAGGGTGAGGGGCAGGGTGAGGGGCAGGGTGAGGGGCAGGGTGAGGGGCAGGGTGAGGGGCAGGGTGAGGGGCAGGATGAGGGGCAGGGGGAGGGGCAGGATGAGGAGCAGGATGCGGGGCAGGGGGAGGGGCAGGATGAGGGGCAGGGTGAGGGGCAGGGTGAGGGGCATGGATGAGGGGCAGGGGGAGGGGCAGGGTGAGGGGCAGGATGAGGGGCAGGATGAGGGGCAGGGGGAGGGGCAGGATGAGCAGCAGGGTGAGGGGCAGGATGAGGGGCAGGGTGAGGGGGAGGGGCAGGGTGAGGGGCAGGGTGAGGGGCAGGGTGAGGGGCAGGGTGAGGGGCAGGATGAGGGGCAGGGGGAGGGGCAGGATGAGGAGCAGGGTGAGGGGCATGGATGAGGGGCAGGATGCGGGGCAGGGGGAGGGGCAGGATGAGGGGCAGGGTGAGGGGCAGGATGAGGGGCAGGGTGAGGGGCATGGATGAGGGGCAGGGTGAGGGGCATGGATGAGGGGCAGGGTGAGGGGCAGGGTGAGGGGCAGGGTGAGGGGCAGGGTGAGGGGCAGGGTGAGGGGCAGGATGAGGGGCAGGGTGAGGGGCAGGATGAGGGGCAGGGTGAGGGGCAGGGTGAGGGGCAGGGTGAGGGGCAGGGGCACAACTCTGATTTGGTTTACAGTCTATGATTAGAACACGATAAAAAGATAAAACAAGAATACAAATATAAATAAAATAATAATGTGATAAACAAATAACGTAATTTACTTTGTTTAAAAATACATCTACTTTTATTTAGAGATTTTGGACGTTAAAACTAGACAGTTTTTTGTTTGAGTTTGAGTTCAGACAATGTGCAGTTACATTTAAGAGATGGCTGCAATATTTACAGTCTATGGCTGCACCAGAAATAGCACCATGCTACTTTCCATAGTACATGTATTAATTATACCTGTACATTTAACATCCATGAAGTAAGATTTGGGACTTTGAACTTTGAAATAGTGCCCTGTTTTTTGTCTCATAAGAAATAAACGTATATAAAATCAAACCAGGCTTGTGTTAGCATTAATATGTATGCTACAATCTGAATACACTTAAGGCTTTGTGTTCGATACTGAATGCACTTAAATGCTGTTATCTTGAATATATTTGGTTGCAGTGACAGCGGCAGGAGGAGCCTCGTCCACAGGCGGGACATCCGCACCACTCACTGAGCTAGACATGGCGAAGACTTACGATTACTTGTTTAAACTACTTTTAATCGGAGACTCTGGTGTCGGGAAGACCTGTGTCCTTTTCCGATTTTCAGAGGATGCATTTAACTCGACCTTTATCTCCACTATAGGTTTGTAATCGGTGTGTTTGTCTGACAGTGTTGTTCAGAAGTTACAGGACTAGCCCTTCATGCTAATCTGATGCTAATCTGATGCTAATCTGATGCTAACAGCTAACATCCATTTGGACCAGGAGACACTGGACCGGCTCTGATGGGTTTCCACGATCATTCATGATGTGCTGTCACCGGCATTAGTGCAGTGTTGTGAGCCTTAGATAACGCGTTTTTCAGAAATAGTTGACACTAGAACATTAATGTCCCATGTTCTTTTAGAGACATGGCTATTAGCAGTGGATTACTCTGTCAGCAAGATGGACCTTTACTTTGGACCAATTTCCGGGACTTCCACTACTTAAAACACTTTTTACATGGCGTGTAATAATTCAAATGTCGATATCATTGTCTATAACTCGGGTCTATCAACATTAAATCCTTAGCTGAGTGTTACAAGTTACTTTTAATCAGTGATTACTTTCATATTACGTATCAAGTACGTAAGTACACTACTGTCTCAGTTAAAATGATTAGTTTAAATTAGTTTTAAACTTCTTCTTACTCCTTTTGAGCATCATGTTCTGAATGTACTTTGTTAATATTTGTTTATGTACTTTTTAACATTTAAATTATTTTTTAACTTTATCTTTTTGCAATTGACCAACTCTTCGAGTTGAATGTGTTGCATGTATTAGAACAGATGCTCAAATAAAGAAATGATCTTCTTCAATCTAACTAACCTAAGTTATAGAACAGTTACTACATTACTTTAATTTTAGTTTTGACAACTTTAAAAAAGTTACACCCAACAGTGCTTGTATTGTTGCATTTAATTGGCATTAATGTGATCACATGAACTGATTTGTACAATGTATGTCTTTCAGGTATTGACTTCAAGATTAGAACAATAGAACTTGATGGAAAGAAGATCAAGCTCCAGATATGGTAAGATTATTAATGACCTTTGGATAATTCTACAGTACTATAATTAGAAAGAGCTGTGTAGAGCTTCCACTGGTTTATTACACTCGTGACCAGTGTCTGTTCATATTTGTTTCATAAGGGACACAGCAGGGCAAGAAAGATTCAGGACCATCACCACTGCGTACTACAGAGGAGCCATGGTGAGTCTCAGCTGTGGTGGTTTGTAGTGCATCCCAATCAGCATGTGGAGGAACTGAGTTTACTGTTGTATATTCTCTTCTAACCCCTGCAGGGCATCATGTTAGTGTATGACATCACTAATGAGAAGTCCTTTGAAAACATCAAGAACTGGATTCGAAATATAGAAGAGGTAATTTGTTTAGAGTCTTGCATCGTGAAACTATTAAACAAAAGAAACTAGTCATTTCAATATTTTGCGTACAGGATTTTAGAATTGTATTTTAATTGGAGGGCATGTGCCAATACAACTCTGGGAAGAAGCTTTTTTTGAAAGAAATTTTGAAATATTAGAAACAAAAAATAATAGAAAAGTCTATATCTTTTCCCAGATCATTATTTGAGAGTGATTCATTATTATTCTTATGTGTTTATGACTTGACTTGAATGCACATGTTTTTGAATATTGTCTAGGCATCTTTATGAGAAAATATGTTTTAAGTTCATGTACTGACAGAGAAGATGTGGAACAATCATGTTTTTTTTTTTTTGCCCAGGAATTACAGAGAAATTAACTCTAAACTAAGACAAGATGTCTGACTTGACATTATCAGCCTTTTTCAGTTGCCTTCCACCACAATTGTAACTATAGGCTCTTTGGAATGTTGTGATGTCACATGAACACAACCTATTGAATTCTTATAGTGACCACATGATTTGAGTTTATCACTGAGAAAGTGTCCCTTCCGTTGCGCAGCACGCCTCGGCCGATGTGGAGCGGATGGTCCTCGGGAACAAATGTGATGTCAATGACAAACGACAAGTGTCCAAAGAACGAGGAGAAACGGTACGACTCTGCTTTTAGCTTTTACATCACATGTGCTGACCTCCCATTAATTTTAATTAAATATTACTTTTATTTAAAGCACATCAAAAATAGGGAACCACTAATTGAGATGTGTTTAAAATAATACCAATATTTAGTGCAGATTAAATATATAATACTTATATATATAATTTTATAATACTTGTCATAAATTGAAGGAATGAAAGCTCTATTTTATAACTGAATATATTTAATGTAAATGTATCCTCAAATGTATACATTTTTTCAACTTGAAAATAGGCATGCACCGATACCACTTTTTTTCAAAACCGATACGAGAAATAGCTTCGGTGCTAGCAAAGGTGTTATTCTCCACGTGGTGGTGAGTTTTCAGATGTTTGATCAAGTTGCTGGTGTTCTACGTCTTTGTTTTGGACCCACCTCGTGACAGTTTTGTCTTACACGACGTACAGTCCGCTTTACTCGTTTACTTTACAAAACTGCCTTACAGCCAACATCCTGTCCGCTTGCCGCGTGCGTCTGCTGTCCAATGTGAATAAGAAATGTGGTTATCGGTTGCCGGCATCGGGTCCTATGGTGTCGACCCAATACCAGTATCCGTATCGGTCCCTCTTGAAAACAACAAGTAAACGACTAATGTTTCAAGTGCAAATTATGGCATATCAAACATTCATCAGTTGGATTCATGTTCCGTGCTTTAACACAGGGGTTCCCAAAGTTTTTAGCCCGCGACCCCCATCATAAATGCCCTGCTAACCCGCGACCCCCGCTCCCGCCCCCCCCCCAACAGCCCTTTCGTCACATGAAATGAGCATGTATTTCCTTGATACGGAGTAACGCTTTCTAGTAAGTAAGTAAGTAAGTAAGTTTTTATTTATATACCGCCTTTTCACTGCAGATTTGAGTCTCAAAGCGGTTTACAATTGTTAATTTAAATTTTATTAACAATAAATAACTTAATTTTAAAGTTTCTAGAGACTCACGCCACTACCGAGCTGCACTGTCCAGCCCAAAAAAGGAGGCTTGCATATTTTTACTCATGTAGTGACACAGTGATGGGCTTGTCAGGCTCCCTCCTCAGCAGAAGTGGAGCGCATTTCTTGCGGCTCGCCCTCACTGTTCTCCTACCGCGGTAAAGTGGCCCGGCTTTCCGGAGTCAGCGGTAAAGAGGTCCGCACATTAAAAGCGGGCGTCCGCTTTCTGTTGTTACTTTATGCTGTTCATCCCCGCGGCTTCTCTTTCCAAAGTTACTGTCAGTAAAGGCATAAACCGGCCACCCGCTTTTAATGTGCGGACCTCTTTACCTTTGACTCCGAAAAGCCGGGCCTCTTTAACGCGCTGTTCTACCGCTGTCCTCCCTCCCTCCCTTCCTCCGCTGCCCTCTCTCCCTCCTTTGCCCTCTCTCCCTCTCTTCGCACCATCAGCCTGACCCCTGATACAAGTGACTTTTCTCCCCCTCCGGGTTTTTCTGTTGTGGATATTAACCACGTTTCATTTTAAAGCAGGTATTATTTATTTGTAGCCTCCAAACACCTTTAGTTTTAGCAAACAACAGCAGGACACGCTTTGTCGCTGCGCATGATGTGAGCTGTGTTACGTGATGATTTTGATTGACGCTGCAATGACTGGGACAAAATTACTGACGTTATTAAAATATATTTTATAAATATATTATAAAATATATATAATAATATATATAAATGCTAAATAAATATTTAAGGGCTTTATATTTGCTCAAAAAAAAAAATCTTTTTTTTTTTTTTTGAGCAAAAAAAATCTTTTTTTTGTGTGTGGAAATCATCTTGCGACCCCCCCAGGGGTTCCCGCGACCCCCCGGGGGGTCGGGACCCCCACTTTGGGAACCACTGCTTTAACATGAGGTATGACATGAGCTCGCGATTTACTTGATGGAGCTGAAGTTGGCTAAAGGATGATTGCTCATTTTTATTGTGTGGATTGTGATAGGGCAGGGATTAAAGAGTTCCGTCTAGGTGACGGATTTCCGTCAAATGAAATTGGTCTGGAAAAATATATAAAATGATAATAATACACACAATGAAATGATTGATTATAAAAATAATATATAGTAATACATATACGTGTGAATCTGTTATATAGATGTATAATAATAATTTGAATATAATTGTATTTATATGTATATAGAAATAATAAGTAATATAATCACGAGTGGGCCTTGAACGTGCCGTGGCCACATGAGCGCTCCGCAAATGAATCAAGGCAATGGGACGTAGCTGAGCTCACGCGCAAATGAAGACGCGATGAAGTTAGCATTGGTAACACGGAGGTGAACGTTTCTGGAAACTGCACGGAGCTTTTGAAAAGGAGAAGAGGAGGAAAATTGAATCTCGAACGGAGCAATAACAGCAGCAGATCCGCGGACTGGTAAGCTGGGCGCGTAATAGACGAAAGGTAATTAACGTTTACCAAACGCAATGCTATTTACTTAACGGAATGTACAAAATGGACTTTGCTGCGACTGGGAATGGGGACAAACATGTCTTGGTGAGCTTTTGATATTGTCTTGTTTGCGATCTTCTTGCAAAACTCAGCGTGATGTAAAAGAGCCAATCAACGAGTCATGGTGCGAAAAGATGAAAGTGGCCGGTGCTTGTGCGTACTTTGCCATAAAAAAATTGCATATATGGGAGTAATGAGAAAAAAAGTTTTGATTCGCCACCAGCTCAAAACTGCGCACAAGGCAGCTGTTTGTGCACTTTCCCACACTTCATCTTTACCTGGTGCATCAGCAACAACTGACACTAGGCTTGCTCTGGCGGACCGTGTCTGTGGCTTTATCGCAGAAAATAACGTTCAGAATATCACTACCGCTGGTAGATTTATTTAAATCATTTGCAGTTGATCGAAGTGCACTGTGCACTCAAACTTGATAGGGAAACCTTTTTCTTAAATATTGACGTGTCCACAAACAAATGTGGACAGAATTGTATCGTCCTTTTGCGATATTTTGACGAGGACAGAGCCAAAGTGTTGACGCTCCATATCGCCTCAAGTAAAGCTACTCTCACTAATATTCTGTCAAAAAGTTGACTCGTTGCTTGATCCACTTATATATCAAAATACACTGTATATCTTTGAAGAATTCATTTGAGCTGTATTCAATATACCAGTGTCTCCCAAAGTGGGTACTGCAGGGGGGCCGCGGGAGGTCATAAAAAAAATAAAAAATAATATAATTATTTAATGTTAAATTTATAATGTTTTGTTTGTAATATTAAAATATTTGTGTTCATTATTTGACTTGAATAATCCACTGTAATCATTTTTGTATTACAATGTTTGTAGCAGAGGCTATTTCCCCAAAATAAAATAACCAGAAGAGCCTATTCTTAATGTTGTCTTCTTGGTTATTATTTTGGGGGGCCACGCAGACCCGTCAGATTTTTTAAATTAAAATATAACTTGGTCTTGCATATTACTGTGATTTACATGATAAATTACGTGATAAATTTCCATGCAAAAATTTTCAGTCAAATCTTTTTTTTTTGCTTTAACCCCTGTGATAGGGCAAAATTAATTAAAATGACTATCAGAGATTTAAAACATTGGATACAGTATTTGCTGGACTGTTTAACGCACCTGTATACGGACGGCACAAGCTTAAATAAAAAAAGTTTTTTTTTCCACATTTTAGCCGCAGGTTTTGAGGTTGTAATGTAACACTTAACCTACAACTGATGGAGAAAAACACAATTTGATGCGTTTTGATTCAAGATCCAAACTATTTTAGTAACATTCTTATTAAAGCCTGATGGACAATAGTTTTCATCTCATACAAACAAGTCCTGTGTATTTCCCTGCATTCCTCATGTCATCTCTGCTGTTCACATAAACAAACTTACAAAATAAAAAGAGAAGAGAAAAAATGCAATTATGAATCAATTTGAATCACCAATTTCTTTTGTCTTGCCCTGCCCTCACACATGCATGTTTCTTCCCATAGTTGGCTCTGGAATATGGGATCAAGTTCATGGAGACAAGTGCAAAAGCAAATATCAATGTGGAGAATGTAAGGCCATACAGCGATGCAGTGTGTCTCAGGTAGATTATAACAATGACATGTTTTTCATTTTTCTAAAGGCATTTTTAACACTCGCTAGAGACATCAAAGCAAAAATGGACAAGAAGCTGGTAAGCATGACAGGATTTTCAGCATTGTAGTAATCAACATGTTCTAAAAGATGGTTTATTTGATGTTCTCTCTGTCAAAAGGAGGGTAATAATCCACAGGGCAGCAACCAAGGAGTCAAAATTACCGAACAGCCCAAAAAGAGCAGTTTCTTCCGCTGTACGTTGCTGTAAGATTACTGAAACATCGGCATCACCCTTGCCTTAAACCAGAAGTGGACTCAGCGCACAATCTCCTGCCTTCCTCGTCTCTCATCAGAGTCTCACTTTGTTGAGCTGCTTCATCACTATAGCTCCATGTTTTATTCAGAGGCTACACAAAGTCAACTGTTGTGCGTGTCATAACTTTTTAGAAGCCCTTTCGTTATCTTAAAAAAATCAAATTGTGATTGCTTAAATTAGTTTCCAGGTTATATCATCGCTGTTTTGTCATCTCAGTGCAGATTAATTTGTATCTTGTCTTACTGAAACCACAGCCAGTACATTTGAATTCTGCTTTTAGAGTCTGCGTACATTGATCATTCCACACTGAAGTATGAACAATTTCAAAGTGCAATGTTCACAAAGTCCACTCGCTCCTGCAGAAGAGGTGTGGGCCGTCTGTGAAGTATGTTATGTCTTTGGGCACTTGCTGGGGGATTTTAGATCTTCTTTCAGTGGCTTCTTTATGCAAAAATGAATGCACTTGACGTATCACAGTAACCCCAGGAGGAGCTGCCTGCATGTGTGTATGTACATATGTTCACTGGGGGAACACATAGACATTGGTTTCTGGGCCTTGGACTGGGGCTGTGTTGTAGCAGTATTTATGGCGGCAGAACCCACATAGCACCAAAATGACAAAGTGCCCTTTTATGTTATTTTCAATTACATGCACTTTCTCTTATGGTCTATCTGTAAAAAGTTTTTGTGTTTGTTCCAAAGGAATTTCTATATGTTGACAAAGTTTATTTGTTGTCTTATATGAAACAGAATATTCGACCGTGTACCTCATCTGGTCTTCCCAAAGACATCAGAGCATTGTGTTCAATGAAGATTAAATATAATTATGTGTTCTGCTTTTTCAGCCTTATTTTGAATCATTTGTATGTCACCCTTTTCAGGTTTTTATAAACGTGCAGTTGATGTTTTTGGTAATCCCAGATGTTTCTCCTCTTGTTGCCCTTCTCGGTCTTCTTTTGGCCCAGTATTACGGCTGTTTGAACTATGCAGTCTTCGTGCTTTATTTGAGATTATTATGGACCCTGTTGTTAATATGTATTTGTTTTTGCTTCTGACGTTAATCTGATTTTGGACAACAATAGTGCTTTAAAGAGTCAACCTGTGGATTTAGATTAACGTACGTTAGCACAACACAGGATCCTTGGCATGCATGTTTCTTCTTGCCTCAGTTGCCTGGTATGATCTGGGTGGTTTTGTTTACCATTAATTCCCATTCTAACATCTGCTATTGACATGTGATCTAGGTTTTTCTTAAATGCTCTTTTCAAATTCATTTATTTTACAAGGAAAGAAACAATTCAGCAATTGTAAATAAGATCTACAATGATTGTACTGTAGTTTCATAAATCTGATTGATCTACACTTTTGTAGATGTGTTTACTTTTCATAATGAATTAAAATTCAATTTTTTAAACCTTTTTTGCTTTATTGATCTGTTTGTTTTATTTTGCTAATGCTTCTCTGCGTAACAACCATGCAGGTCAAAAAGAGTTTACTCAGCAAAGTGGCTGCATGCTCCATTAGAGAAAGGTGTGGTTAGTGTGGAGCTCAGTCACATAGGAGGAGCATATGGTCATGGGATTTTTGTGAACATTTGACCAAATGATGCCCCAGGAGAAAATCTTCATAGAGATGATTGAAATGCTTTGTAAAAACGTTCTCATTTTCTTCTGCGGGCATCTTTTAGCAATTGGGAGGTTAAAAAATATATTTTAATTACAATTACTATATTATATTACCATATCAATTACTAGATCATTTCAATAATTAAGAAAATGTGATTAATTGAGTAACTTGTTACAGCTCTAGTTAACACATCTGTGCGGTCTCTTGTAGCTATTTGCAAACCTCATTCCAGGTCTACTGTAACACTGGCTCTCTGTTGCAAATGCAAAGCAGTCTGCCTGTTATTCCCCCTCTCCAATAGGAGCCGTGACATTCATTCACCTGCAACACATTTGAGGTGAGCTCTGGTTCTGTCTGCTTTAAACGAATCATATTAACTAAATAATTCTTCTAGTGCCGGTATCAGGATGAGCCACGCAGATGCTCTGGTCCAGAGGTTCCAGTTGGAGTTTGCCACTCAGGATGGCCTCATCCCACAGTGGTTTCATGGAATTATTTCCAGGAAGTAAGTCTTGGACTAAATAATTGAGTCAACTTCATATGTGTAGAATAAAAATGGAAGAAGGATTCCACTTTCAATATGTCTTCCACCAAGACTAATGTAACAAATGACTTGACTCAACTTTTCCAAATATTTGTAAATGCATCTTTACGTTCACTATTGCAAGTTACCTCAAGATATACATTTGTTTTTGTTTGTTAAGTCCAGCATAGCCTTGTAAAGCTCTGGTAAGGAATAAGTAAAAGGCAGCTTTGTTGATTTGTTGATGGACAATTTATTTATTTGAGATTTATAAAAACACTTAATCAACATTATACTGTTGTAGAATTGGTTTATTATTCTATCATTTGGTCATCATTAGGGAGTATTATTATTGAGAACAAATCCTTGTTTATGCAGATTATCAGAGGAACTGCTCATGTGTAAACCACCAGGACACTTCCTCATTCGAGTCAGTGAAAGTCGCTTTGGTTACACACTTTCTTATCGGTAAGTACAGAACTGTGCAGAACTGAACATGCTTTTTACTGAGACTTCTTTGTGTCTGAAACTCCAGAGCTGATGACGGCTGTCGACATTTTATGATTGATGCATTAGAAGATGGATATGTCATCTTAGGAGACGACAGACACCACCGCCTTCTTCAGAACTTGGTGGATTTTCATTGCAGGCATCCAATTAGACCATTCACTGAGCTCCTAACTGTGCCATGTGGACAGGTAGATGTACTGCAACTGTTCAACTTATTTTTCAATATAATTTATACATCATGTCCTAAATCCTTTTGAAGAATCATACTACAATAAGTTGTCGTAGTATTAGAAAACATCTATCTTTTGCACATGTAATAAAGAGAGAAAAGCTTTGTAAAACAATTAAAGATGTGTTTCTCTTCTTGTTTCTTTAAAATTAGATCTCAGACATAAAGACAGACGACCATGAAGAAATGTTTTTCTCACAAAGACACCAAATGATCTTCCCCTCAAATACAGTGGATCCTCCAGCACTTCCTTGGAGGCCAAATATCCCCCCCTCTGAAACCCTCCATGACGCACAGGTAATACTGTCATATCTATCTGAATGTACTATGAATGAAGTGCATTATATTGTGACTGTCTTATGTGATCTCCAGACTGTCTCTGCACCTCGATTCTCTCAGCCTAAACTCCCACACAGAAATGCAGATCTTGCTCCGTCCAATGATAACCCTTTTCACATCCGGACCAAGTGTGGCCTACCCAGCTTCCTCAAAAACCAAAGAGACCCTCTGAGATCTGTATTTACTAACCTGAAGAAAATTAAGAAGAACTCGAAAAACTGCACATCAGAAAAATCTGTCTTTGAAGAAATTCAAAGTAATGCAGATGTTAACCCAGAAAAGAATCTATACCAAGTTAATAGAGACCCACAGAGTTTGCAGGCTGAGAACCTGGACAAACCTGCTGAAATAATTACTCTGCCTCAGGAGTACCTGCCTCCTCCGCCTTTTGCCCCAGGATACAAATTCACCGAATAGTGTTGGTTCCCTCACCAGTCATTTGTACTGTGTTGTGTTGTTACTGTATATGTGTTGTTGTTATATCATTGTCGAACAGTAACATTATTTTTAATATATCATTATCAACATTATTGATATTATTAATTATTAGGAATAAATGTATACGCCAGATTAGTAGTATACAATAGTATGCTATACTATATTCGAGATTGCCAAGGTTGTTCCAGGGATCTTCTGTAACCAGATAAGAAACCAAAAAAAGAAAAAAATACTGTATGTATGTATGTATGTATATGTATATGTATATATATATATATATATATATATACACACACATCAACTGGTCCTGATTCATAAATGAAATATTTTTATTTGTTTATATTTAACATTTACAGGAATGTGATGCTTTTATTTTGACAAAAAACAAGAAATAGTAAAATCACCAGGAGCGCCCCTTCTCTTGTGACCAGAGGGGGGTGCCCCCTTGCGGCAGTGCCTGAGAAGTGCAGCCCTGGTGCCCTTGACTCCACCCCTGATCCCGCCCCTACGGACTGCCCTGTGGCATGACGTCACCGGGAGGCAGATTTCGGGAACGGGAAAAAAACCTGCTTTAACGAGGAAGTAACCCACCCAAAGCTTTAATATTACTACAAGATCTCTTTTACACGTGTTTTGGTAAAGTTTCGCTTTCGCTTCAGAGCGTTGCGATGTCGTCCTACATCCCAGGACAACCAGTCACTGCTGTCGTGGTAAGTTCGGAAAAGGGGCTGGGTCCATTGTCTGAAAAGTATGTCACGTTGACTTGCCAGAGATAACAACAGTCTTGTTTGATTTAACTTACATTTGACTACATTTTATGAACTGGTTAGTGAACCAAACCTACACTATCTTACACACACATGGTATGACTAGTTTACACACACATGGTATGACTAGTTTACACACACATGGTATGACTAGTTTACACACACATGGTATCACTAGTTTACACACTCATGGTATGACTAACAAACATCGTTACGAAAACAGAACAACATTCAGCCAGCAGCTGCAGTGTAATAAGCATGACCACAAATCTCCTGGATCCCATTCGAAACTACTATCTTACAACTATTTTTACGACTCGGGCAGTGCATGATTGTGTCCATATGGTAAAGATCCACCCAGTCCCAGAGTCATTCTTCTCTGACAGCTGCCATTGTGCTCCAGCGTCTGCATGAAGTCTGCAGCTGTTCAACAGCTTCACTATTATCATCAGTCAATGAATTTAGTTTCTGTCTGAACCCAGCAGATAGGAGCTCCCGGCCGGATTTGAACAGTGGATTAAAAAGTGTCACCAATTTTAATTTAAGAAATTAACACATTTGTGACGTTGTTCTCGGTCAAATAGCAAAAGATTGAAATTCAGAAGTTGCGCCAGGGAGACCGCCTCATCCTGGGCTTCAGCATTGGAGGAGGCATTGACCAGGACCCAAGCCAGAACCCCTACTCCGAGGACAAGTCGGACAAGGTGAGCACTGGTCAATGATCAATTATCTCACTGTCTACATAATGAATGTGCTTAATGTATTTTGGATAATTACATTACATTGTCTGTTTGAGTCCACCAACCTAAAACAAAAACAAATGGTCTGATTTGAAAGCACATAGGCCTGAACAGGTCTGAGCAAAAGGGAATTGCCTCAGGAAAAATAAGCATTCTACTTCAGCTCATGTCATAGAAATAAAGATCAGTCCTGGCTCAATGATAGTGATTACATAGGTCACAATTATGAAGGAGGTAAAATATATTTAAAAAATATTGCATACATAATTGTGTTATTTTCAGTCATGTAAAAAGTCATGTACAAAGTCAGTTGTCAGTTGTTTTTATCCCTTATTTCCTGAAGCTGGTCACAGCTATACAAAATGTATGAGGAAGTATGATCCATAGACTTTGAGCTCAACAATAATATAATTTCACTTATATTGTTGGCTAATGGTAATTTATATTTCAGGAATTCAAACCTTATAAAAATGGGAAAATACTGTGAGCAGGTTGTTTTTCTGCCCAATTGTTTTAGCTATATCCTTCAACAAATACATCTCGATTATAATTCATAATGTCCTGTTCTGTGGTTTTTAATTTTCTATTTCCACGCAATCATGCAGGTGACGTACTGTACCACCTCCAGGGAGTTACGCTAGAAGTTTTTAATTGAAGATTTTGACATTGTTCACTTCATTTTACAGGGCATCTATGTGACGAGAGTGGCACCAGGAGGACCTGCAGATGTTGCTGGTTTGAGAGTGGGGGACAAAATTATGCAGGTGAATACCACTTACTTCAGTCATATGTGTCGCCACTAGAGGGCACTATTAAAACACATAAAGAAAAGTAATTTTTTTTTTACTCGAACAAATGGTAATGATGTTTTTTCTTTGTATTTATAGGTTAATGGTTGGGACATGACCATGATAAAACACTACCATGCGCTTAAAAAATTAACCAAATCGAATGAAGTCGTCGTTCGGCTACTGGTAACCAGGAAGTCCCTAGAGCAGGTTGTTCGAGGAGCGATGGGCTTTCACAAAGAGGAGCACTAATATCAAATGGACAATCGCATCATCAATGTCATCACTCACTACTTACTTACTACTACTAGCTTATCACACTACATGACAGTGTGAGGTGGTACAATGTTATTTCTACCTCAATCTTCTCTTTTGATTTTGAGGTTGGAATATAAGATGTTTTATCTCTGTGTATGGGAACATTGTGATGTCATAATTTTATTTTCCTTTTATTTCATGACTGAAAATAAGCATTATCCTCCATCAGCACAACCACATGGCAAGTGTTCTTTCCCCATGGTCAGCTCGGGTCTGAGTCCGGGCTCTGGGTTCAAGATTGTGGTGTGGATCCCATCCCTGTCCAGTTCTGCCTCTTCCACTGCCTTTTCCCCTAGTATAATTGAGATAAGTCAGGCAGCCTTGGGCTGTTGCCACAATATACCACTTCAAATGCCTATTTTACTGAAGCCACAGTCCTTGCTGTGAAGTGTCATTCATTCTTTCTTCATGAGCATACTTCTCTTTTCTTGTAGCTCGATGTAAAAAGTGCTAAACCTTTCAGATGACTGAATACATTTTCTCTTGCTGCTTCACAATTGGGCTTGTGATGGCACAGGCGATCCTATGCAATGCATTCACTGCTGTGAGAACAAATATTTTTTGTAATGTCAAAACTTTCCAATTGAATGTTTTTATGATACTGAAATAAAACAGTTTTAAATCTTACTTTCTGACCATGTACTCTTGGTACTAATAGTTACAGTTCAAAAGCACATAATCCATTGCCTGCCCTTTCTGTTTGAAACTGTTTTCCTGATTTCACTTTCATTCCTGCAACCCCTGCTGCTCTCAAGTAAACACTCAATTAGGATTTGGATTGTTAATCTAATAGCCACATAAACAATATAATGTGATATGTTCAGATGAATAACTTGCATTGGCACATGGGGCTGGGTTAAGCCATCGCTGATCTATTCCTTTGAAACAATATTGATTATGGACCTCCCAGTCTGTATACAGCAACAGTGTTCATGTTATTTTGGTACCACAGAAGGAAGCACGCTTCAGTCCACTGCTTAAGCGTCAGAATGATGAACCATGGTGGAAAGCCGTTGAATGGGTGACCTGTTCCTGACAATGCCACTCTTGGAGCACTCTCAAGAGGTAGTTAAAACAAGTCTTGGTCTTGTTGGCCTTGGTAGACTGGGCATCATGTAACCCCCCCCAATGATTTAAAAATAGAGATAAATTGCCTAAATATATTTTTTTTAAAGCTGAATTTTGATAGCTTTTCCTAACTTCACCGGCCCTGACCAAGATTATTATGCCTGGCCACCTTGGCTCCGGAGCCCTGACAGAGAGGAGGGATGGGTTTAATGCAGAGGGTTAGTTCCTTAATGAGAACATTAAAGTGTACCTTAACGGCTACAGGTATAAGATGTACGTCTGCAAAGGACATGCACACGTACACATAATGAGTACAGTGTTGTCTAGTTCTTTACTATCTGTATTTTATTACATTGTTTAGACTTATTGTTGTGAATAAAAAGGCAAAGAATGTACTCCTGACACGTTACTCATAGAAATACTACACAAAATATATCCAAACAAATTTTCCAACAAACTCTTCTGCTGTTATGTGCAAATCCAATCGGGCTGATGTGAATTGACTGAAGTAATGAATCAACTACCAATTCATTAAACAATTCAATTCCTTAATTTCACAGAAATGTTGAAGAAAGGAACAAAGTAGATTCTTTGCATACTGTAGTATAAATGGAATGAATTCTGTTTGATTTTTGGCAATGCAGCCCAAAGTTAGACTGAGCTGTTTCTGTGCATAAATAATTATTCTGTAAACATGCATCATACATGATCTGTGCCACCCACATTGTTGCACGATAATTGAGTTGCCATGGCGATGCAATCTGCTGCTGAAGCTGTGATTTGATATATACTGTATAGCTGGAGCCACATACTGTAAATTTGACACTTTCAAATTCCAAGCAACTACTCTGTCTGATGACCATAGAAAGTTTCACAAAGCAGGCTATAAATGTAAGTGTATGGGCAAGGAGTCACCTTTCAAAATGGAGGTCTGTTCGACAAATACATTTGCAACACAGTAGCTTACGGTTGGATGAAGAAAGCCGTGTTTATCAAGACAAGTGCAGTAAGGATGTGTGGGTGGAGAGTGTTGCTTACATGAGACCTGAGAGAGGATGCATGCTGTTGTCATAGCAATGGTCTCATGCATAAAATACATATGTCATGTGTCATTTGTAGAAAAAATTAATAAAAAAAGAAGAAAGCATAAAAGTAATGCAACTACAATTATATACAGTGCCTTGCGAAAGTAATCGGCCCCCTTGTACCTGTCAACATTTCGCCACATTTCAGGCTTCAAACATAAAGATATAAAATTTTAAATTTTTGTCATGAATCAACAACAAGTGGGACACAATCGTGAAGTGGAACGAAATTTATTGGATAATTTAAACTTTTTTAACAAATAAAAAACTGAAAAGTGGGGCGTGCAATATTATTCGGCCCCTTTACTTTCAGTGCAGCAAACTCACACCAGAAGTTCTGTGAGGATCTTTGAATGATCCAATGTTGTCCAAAATGACTGATGATGATAAATAGAATGCACAGCGCAGAGAGAACCATGAAGACAAAGGATCACACCAGGCAGGTCCGAGATACTGTTGTGGAGAAGTTTAAAGCCGGATTTGGATACAAAAAGACAATTATATTGAAATGGAAGGAGTATCAGACCACTGCAAATCTACCACCAAGACCCGGCCGTCCCTCCAAACTTTCATCTCAAACAAGGAGAAGACTGATCAGAGATGCAGCCAAGAGGCCCATGATCA